TCAGAAGTCAGACATTCCTCTTCACACTTCAGTCTTCTCCCTTCCTTCTCTTTCTCCTCCTCCTTTACCTCTTCCATTCTGCCAGCTGTGGGAATGTCAGCCTGTGCAGTGTCAAAACCCAGATTATATTCCTACAATAACAGTTTGAGAAATGGCAGGTGTTAGCCTTCTGCCTAGATCCCTGACACAGAGAACACTTCTCACTTTTTTTAGGCAACAAACTTACTGATTTTCTACATGACTTTGTTCTAATTTCTGTTTAATCTGCAGCATTTCATCATAACTGGACATCAAAATCTGAATGGGTCTTCATTATTTTAAAGCACTGCTTTATTTACTGCATCTCTGTAAATACAAGAAATGCCATACAAGCAAAGGCACAGAGTGTTGCAGTAGCTTACACGTTCTGCAGTATCAAATAGAAAAATATCTTTGGTTTTAGTTTAGGGTTTAGTTTTTTTGCAGTAATAGCTACCTAAGGAAGGGGATCAAATTCCCTTCTGAAATCATTAAGATATAACAAAAACAAAGAGAAGCTGAAAAACAATAGCTGATCTCACAAAAGCTCTAGCAACAAGGTAAGGGCTGACAACTCCAGTGTGATCACAGCTGATGTGAAGGGCAGTGTCACTGCAGACAGCCTATTCTTTATTTCTACTTAACTAAAAACGCAATCAACATCAGCATCTTAAGAAATACAAAAAGTAGCTGAAAGAACACACTTGACAGCTAAGTCAATGGATCACCATTAATTTATATCTACTCATATCTCCTTGTGTATATCAGTGGCTGCAGTGGTTTTTCACATCATAGCTCCAACTCCATCTGAAACAAAAAATGAGGTTCTCCTGCCAATTATATTTTTTTCCTAAACCTATACATGATTTTATTTACAATTAACAAGTTTTCCAAGTATCAAGCAAGCATCTCAACTCAAAACAATCCAAAAGTTATTAAGCATCTAAAGAATTATGATCTAATGCATAAATAAAACATAATTTCTGCTTTTGTAAAAAATAAATTACTTATGGGAGGGGAGTACAGATATTTTTGCTGCAAACATATAGAAACTAACGCTACCCAACAATCAAAACAAAAGGACAGCCGGAAATCACACACTAGATAAAGAATTAATATGCATTTATTACATCAAAATTAAAAATAAAAATAACCATGCCATTTTCTGTATGCAACTTTCACCTTACTATTTCATCATTTCATTTTACACCCATCAAAAAATAGAAACATTCAGAAATTTTTTGTTTTTTATTCTTTTGAAACAGTATGAAATAAACTGACAAAACTACAACATATACAACTCAATTTCTAGGAAAGATAGATATATTATCCCTTCTGTCTTTATTCTTAGCAATAGAGAAAGAATAGCAAATACATTAACTGTGAATAAAATAAATGGGAAAAAAAAAACAAAAACCAACATCCTGAGAATGAGCTTTGCAATTTCTGAACATTTTTCATAAGTTGAAGCTGTGTTTCCAATGCAGAAGCTGCCAAATACACATCTGGCTTTGACTCAATTGAATTCCTGAATAAGTTTCCTTTAAGATCTCACTGTTGGAATAGGTCCAGAGGAGGCCATGAGGATGATCAGAGACCTTGTTATAGCCTTCCAGTAACTTGAGGAGAGCTTTTTACATGATACACGATAGAGGTAGGGCAAGAGGGGAGATTTAGGCAGAAATTCTTAACTCAGAGGGCAGTAAGGTGCTGTCACAGACTGCCCAGAAAAGCTGTGGGTGCCCCATCCCTGGAGACACTCATGGCTAGGTTGGATGGGGCCTAGGCAGCCCCACTAGGAGTGTTAAACAAAAATCCTAAATGTGCTTTTTGTAAAAACAAATACTAAAACTAATAATGAGAAAACACTATAGTTTAATGTGCAAGATTTCCTCATCTATGCTAGCTGTTAAGCAAGAAGAGGAAGACCCTATCCTGAAAATCTTCCATTCCACATACACACTTTTATTGTGCAGCTTATCGCTCTTCCTACTAAGGGTTTCTAGTTCTTTCTCATGTTTTCAGGTCTGGCCTTCAACCTAAGCCCAGTGGTTAGAATCAAAGAAGACTTTAAAGAATGTACAGAAATTCTAGTATGAATAACGTCAAGGACTCAAATAAATTATTATTAGTGTTATAATTTCCTTATAATTATTGAACTGACTAAGTTGGGGTGAAGAAAGGTCTTTACTTGGATTACCAAAATTTACATTTTAGTGACATGTGAATCAGCCTTCCCTCAAAAAAGTGAAAAAAGAATGGCAAGGTAAAATTAATTAACCTCAGAATCGATGGAATTTTTAGGTTTAGTGTTTACATGCCTGGAATAATTAATGTTCTGACAAAAGTATATAAAGCAATACTTTGAAGTGCATCCTTTTCTTATTCCACCACATCAGTACTTCACACAGAAATGAAAACAATAACAAATACGTTTGTATCAACTGTATTTTAACAGATGAGTACCTTGAACAGATCCTTGATTTGAGGGGGAAGTTCTACATATCTGGATGGATAATAAAAAGGAATAAAATGAATCTACATGGATATGTGCTCTGCCTAGTCTCACAAATAATTGCTCTGAATGCAGAAGTAACTCCCTTTGAAAGGCAACAGAAGAGAAGAAAATCTCAAGTATGAATTCAGGGAATGTATCCAAAACTGAAAAAGTAACTAAAGGTACTCAGACCCAGCCCAGTGCATGGAGCTTATTTTTATGTTTAATACAAAAGTGTTCATAATTTTTGCATCCCTGAATAAAGAATTTATGGCAACAACTGGGGAAAAGAGCTCTATTAGGGCAGTATTTAAAACAGTCTTCGACTCCAAGATATTTTAAGTGTCACTTAACTTGGCCAAATGTAAGACAATGTTAACAAAGATCCTTCAGGAGACGTTCAGTCATTAAAAAATCTGTGTATGTATGTAAGCATAGACATCCCTATAGCCCTATTTTAAGACAACAGCCATTTGAAGCAGAACTACTACTGTATCAGCAATGTGATGAAAATCCATCGTCATTCTCTAAAAACAAAATTAAACAACCTCCTTAGTAAGCAGCAAAATGTCATCTGTGAAAGGTAGCCTCTTCTATAGAAGTGAAAACGTGTACATTTTCTGATATGCTGAATTGATTAAAAAAAAAATACATGGATAGTAAAATCTAATAGGAAAGGTGATGGGGGCTTTTTGCACAAAAAGATAAAAAGCAAGAAGAATCACTTCAGGGTGGTCTCAGGAACTGAAGACAGCTGTCTCAGCTGAATGTACTGCTGTTGATTATGTCAATGTCATAATCAATATCGTAATCAATACAGAAACTGGGAACATATAACTGGGAATGTATAACTTCTGCAGAAGGCCATCCATATCCTGGTTTGCATCAAAAGCAGTATGACCAGCAGGTTGAAGGAAGTGATTCTCACTCTTAACTCCACTCTTGTAAGACACCACCTGGTGTGCCACATTCAACTCTGGAAACCTCAGCATAAGAAAGATATGAACTTGTTAAAATGGGTCCAGAGGAGAGCCTTGAGGGTGATAAGAGGGTTGGAGCACTTCTACAGTGTTAGAAAGGCTGAGAATGTTGGGATTATTTAGCCTGGAGCCTCTGGGGAAACTCTACAACAACCTTTCAGTACTTAAAGAGGCCCTGTGAGAAAGACAGGGCATCACTCTTCATGAAGGAGTTTAGCGATTAAGGCATAGGCTTTGAACTGAAAGAGAGTAGATTTAGATTAGATATTAGGAAGAAATTCTTTACTGAAAGGGTGGTGAGAAGTTGGAACAGAGAAGCTGTGGACACTCCATCCTTGCAAGCGTTCAAGGCCAGGATGGATGAGGCTTTGAGCAGCCTAATCTAGTAGGAGGTGTCCTGGACAACCTCTTCTAACAGTTGGCAACCCTGCCCATGGCAGGGAGCTGGATGATCTTTAAAGTCCCTTCCAACTCAAATCATTCTGTGATTCCATGTTTCTAATTCCTATGTGTACATAAAAACTTTCTAAATATACGAAATTAATGGTAAGAATAACAAGTAGATCTTTTATACATTAAAATTTACTATACATTGTAGCAGAAATATCATTTTGTTTCTTATTAAAGTATTAAGTTTTCTGCTGATGCGCATGTCTGCTTTAAGTATTTCTACTCAATACAAAATTACAGAGAAGTTTTAATGGTAGAAGAGATTCTTAATACAACATACATTGTATTAGATATTTGTGCTGAGCGTTCATTTTAATTCTTATTCTACAAAAAACATACTGCACATAACTGATTTTCATCTTTATGAACTTCTACTGAGTCAACAGAAACACATATCAATATGTTGTAAAAGCATACCGATACCACACTGATAGAAAATAATCCTTTGTACAGCCTGGCATTGACAATAAAAAGCTAAATACCAAATGGTAATACCACATTACTTTTTATGACTTTTAAAATGTTTTGCAATTAGCCACCTAATGACTTAACAACACTCCGAAGGTAACATAAAGGAAAGTGGATCCTGTTAAAATTTAAATCACAATCAAGGTTATTCTTTATGCTTGTACTAAAGATCATGAATCTATTGAACTTATCAACATAGAATAGGAAAGATAAATGATGTTTTGGGGACAATAAATTTACTCTTCACTGTTTGTCTTAATTTTGGCATGTGAAAAGGATTGAAGCTCCCATGAAATTCTACATTGTACTTGTTATATCAACAAATACTGTTTAACCACTAATGTGTTACTTGTGTCTTCTAGGTCTGTCTCTGGATCAAAGTCAACAAACAAGACAAAACAATATTTCTGCAATGCCTTGGAAAGTCTCCTGTACACAGGGCAAAAGTGAGGATGTTTTTGAGTGGCCTCCACATCTGAAAATGAGTGATTTACATGTGTATACAGTTATTTATTGAAGAGCAGTTAGATAAATCATATCAAATCACTTCTCCCTGTAAATATTTTTATATTTAAAATATATCCTTATCTCTTATTATCCTAATATCTCTTCTTATCCTAAGCAATAACCCAGTTATTATCCTAAGCAAGCTAATGAGTGACCTGCTCCTGGCAATTTAACAAGTAGTAAAAACAGACCATCAGAAGGCCATGGGAAGGGAGTAAATAAAAAGATTTTTTTTTTGCTGTTTCTTGCCTACTGCATCTGTCAAGTGAGCAGAACACTGCATTCAGCAGAACATTACATGAGCAGACACTACATTCAGATGTCTGTGTTTTGTTCTTTTGAGCTGACCCACGGCAATGACAAGGAACAGGTTTTCAAGCTTCCAATAGTGAACTCTGCTTGCAGCCATTGCTTCACAGCCGTGTGTCATACTCCACAGTCTTGTTTTCATCATCAATTCCTCTGGCACTTGTCTCTATTTCTTTTTTGTAGGCTGGACAGAGTCTTTCCATTGTGCAGACATTTCTTCTCAAATCTATGGCAAGAAAACTAACTCAGTTACTCAACCAAGCAAATGTTTGAAAAGCACATACACCCTGGGTAGAGTATCCAGACCTACAACTGATGGCCAGCAGTCTGCTACCAGCTTCCAAGATGAAGAAAATCTGGAGCAGGGCAAATCAGAGAAAGGGGAAAGAGAGCCACAGAGGAGCCAATAATGGTGTGAGCTGGTATGAATGAGTCTCCCTTGCAATGTCTGTTCAGCTGACTTTTGCCCTTTATTATCTCTGACTGCCACAGACATAAATAATCCAAAACAGTAACACTGCAGTTCTCATTTCCAAATCAAACAGTGATTATTACTCTGTGTAGGCACAAAGAAGAAGTTTTCTCTGGAAAAAAAAAATGTGTAGGTGGAAATTCATGCATAGTAGCAATCTATTTTGGCTTTGAGACTTTTAAATCTGCTTCACAATGAAGACAAATCCATTCTGTCACAACTAACATGAACAACTAGCAATCCAGCTAAGCAGGAAGAGCTGCAGTGCAGAGTACCCAGTTCAAAGATCTGGGAAGATCCAGTGATTTTTTCCTGGCTAATGCTTTGCTGATTTTTAGATCATTTTTCGTTTTAAAAATTATTGCTGATGTTATCTGTAGAAATTACCCCCAAAAATGATCAGTTTGCATACTAAAGGAAACAATTCAATGGGTAGAAGCTTTAGAAGCTTTCATGCTGAATGTTAAAATGGCTCCTAGGCAAAACAGAAAGGTAAAAGATCTATGTTCTCTTATTTGCCTTCACCTGCAGAGAGTATGCTAGCTATAAACTCTCAGCTCTGTAGAATTTCTGAACTTGATGTTGCAGCACACTTAAGCCTGTACTACCACACACTTAGAAAGCGAGACATAGGTTAAAAATTAATCTTTAGTTAATCTTTGAATACCAGGAAGTTTCAGCCTCTTGCAGCAAGAGTTACAATGATGCTTTGCGATGAAATTTCTTATTGCATCTTCTCCTAGGTTTGCTGGTCCAAATACCATCTTTCCAGACCTAAAAGGAATAGCATTGAATAATAAACAAACTCAAAATAATGCAACTGTAGAGAAGAGAAAGGTTTATAGTTTCCATTCAATGAATTAGAGGTAAGTTAACCACTTGTTAAGCAAACAAACAAACAAACAAACAGTGTACATCTCCAGTTTCCTAGCTCTGAGACCAAAACACAAAGCACAGAATGCTCAAAGAGAAAATTTGGGCACAACGACATTAAGACACTGTATGCCTGAACCTAACTCTGTTACACTGTTCATTCTTACTAAGAAAATGTTTTTGGTTTTGTTTCAACATTGGGCACCTGGGAATAAACTAGAACCAGCAAAGACTTACTTATACCTTATTTAAGAACTGAAAACTGAAAGTCCCAGTCATATCAATATGCAGCACTGAATAATGACTTACTGTACTGCTGGCAGGCAAGGCTTTAAAATTTATTGGCTTCTTTCTGTGCTCATTTCCATGTGTCTGCACACTGGCCAATTCAGCAACATTACTAAGGGATACATTTATGGAAGTGCAATGCATATTCTGAATGAAGCTGACACAATTACAAATAGAAGCAAGCTATAGACACACATGTTTTAGAAGTACCACATAATTACATCAGGTCTTTAATGTAGTCTGGAAGATCAGTGTTCATTAATTTTAACATTGTTCCACTATTATTCTCAAGAATTTAATTGACATTCCAGACATCACAGAGCACAGCTCACAAGAAACACTTGTAAAAAAACTTTATGAACTCAAGTGCTTTATTTTAATGATATGCATGGTAGAAACAATACATTTTAATATCTGAAATAAATCACAGCTTTGAGAAGCTACAGAAAAAGATTTTAACTCTCTCAAATCTGTGATTCAAACTAATTTAAAATATTCTAAGGAAGCCTTTTTCCAAATATGACATTCCCATTCCATAATGGAAAAGAGCAATGAATAGTCAAAACTAGTATCTGTATAATTTCTGGCAAATAGTGATGATTACCTGTCTTCTGGATCATTTATCAGTGACAAGGACTGGTCTATTCAGCTTTTACTGAAGATTAGTAGAAGAAAACATGTAGAAAGTAGAATACTATGTAATTGTCATGTATACACTTTAGATGACATGGTGCTACATTATCATTTCTATTTTTTGCATAAATAATTAGTTGGAAGGTCGTAAACAGAGAACTGTGGTAGATAGCAGTATTTCCATCTGGAGGCCACTAATGAGTGGTGTCCCTCAGTAGCCCATCTTGGGATCAATACTCTTAAACTTTGACTCTTTACCAATGACATAGATGATTGGATCAAGTACACTCTCAGCACATTTGCAGATGACACCACACTGAGTGGTGCAGTCAATTGGCAGAAGGAAGGGATGCCATACTGGTGTACCTTGACAAACTCTTTCTTGTGCTGGGGGTCCCCTCAAAGCCACTCTCCTAGTTTTTCACAAAAAATACTGAACCCAGCTTTTCACTATCTCAAAAAAGTGTATAAATAGGAGCAAATGGACTTTAAAAAAAAAAAAAAAAAAAAAAAAAGTTCCTCTTTTTGTGAATAACCTTACTTCATAGATGTGCTTCATAAATATCTACCACATCATACTAGACTGGTCTTGTCTGCCGGACAGGTAACAGCGTGTGTGTTGATGCAAACACTGCATCCCATATTCAACTAGGAGCAACAGATGCTACAGATGCACAGAGTAGACCATACCACATCTATTTGGCCTTATTCGATAGAATGTAATGGGAGGTTTCATGGCAAGCAGCTCCCTTCCAGAGAAGCATCCACATCAGCTACTCAGCATGTTTGCAAAATTAGCTTCACATTACCTGTTTCACTTGTGCAGGTTTCTATAGCAGAGGTTCAGTCCAAGTAAATATTTTATCTATTGTTAGCAATTCAGTTGTAAATTGTATGGCTGAAACTTAAAAGCTTGGTAAAGATTCAATAAGTCCATTCTCCAAAATGCATGCTAATGAGTAACTTCAGATAACATACTGTATATATAACATACTGTATCTATAATCATACTACAGCCTCCAGCCCATCGCTATACACTTCAGAGTTTTCAAACAGGGGAACAACAGATCTAGAACCTCTTACTCCTCCTTTTCACATGTTTGTAATGAGATTTTTGACCACCAGAGCTCTCCTCCTCACCTCCCTCATCAGGCCTAATGCATCAATTCTTTTCAATCTGAAACTCAGCCAACTATTTTCCACAACTCTGAATCTGCTCTTCACTCTGCACCCAGTGTCAGTGAAAGCTTTAAGAGGATGAACTTCATTATAGACTTGGTAATAAGTGGTACACTCTGAAAGAGTATCCAGAGTACTACTTGTAATGTGATTCTTCCCAATGTTTGGGTGGTACAGGAACCTGCAGGGATAGCACTGTGTCACATATTTCTGTTTTTAAAGGAAATCTTTTCATTAACATTACACCTGTATAATTTTAATACCTCATACATTCTAGGCAGTGCACATGGCCAGATATTCAACTCATGTCAAATATCCCTGAATTTACCACTGTGTACATGAGTTCAGGATCTGCCAGAGTTTCTGCAGTATCACACATACTTCCAAACTGATCTATTATTTTTTATCTTAGTATTGCATACAACTCAAAAATGATACAGCACACTAACAGAGAGCTAGAGATCACATTTTGCCATTAAAAAGCCCATTTCAAGTCAGCATGCAGGATGCATGAAAGACTTACTGCAAGATATTGGCATAAGCCACTAAAACAACAGAATTAAAGAAACAATAATAAATAATGTAACTGTAAGTAGCGCTGAAATCTGTAACAGCATCATCAGTCACATGCCTACTGTTTTCCCTCAAGCATCTAAAAGAATGTGTACTCAAAGCAACTTTTTAGGTAGTGCACAGATTTTGATTAAGTATCTTATTTACAAATGAGGATTTAGATCTTGATAGAGACAGAAATGTTTCCCCTGTGAACAAATAAAGATTAAAGCAAGGATAGTGCTTTTACATTATTATTTTAGAAAGCGTTTCTTAAAACTGAATATTTGTTAGTTGCTTACTGAATATATCTATGATTTCACTGCTTTATTCCTTCAGATCCCTGAATCCAAACAATACAGCTTCACCACATGCTGTACCAAAGAATTCCCCAGACATAAGAAAATCAAGATGGTTTTGATTAATTAATCAATGCTCGCTCTTTAATTAGGACTTAACTGTTTTGTAAATGATAGGAAAAAAAAGCTCTGAAAATAAAATGTGTGATCAAATTTTAATAACTGTGACAAACTGTGACAGAAAAAAAACAGAAGGATTGTAAAAAAAAAAAACAAAACACTTCAAGATAATGCAGATAGATATTATCCCTATTTTAAAGAGGATAAGCTGAGATGCTTCATCAAGTATTGCGGTCTAATGATCAGTTGCAGTCTCTAGAAATAAATATTACAGTTTAAGTTCTACATTTGCTTCAAAAGAATCCACTTGAGAAGTAGCAAACCATATCTTTACAAATCTGTAGCAATACTTTTAAAATGTTTGCTAAATCTGTGTAATGAACAGCTATATAAATAACCTCTCTGCTAAGCTATCCTTGTATTACTGTCATGATCCCTTAACCTACACACAGTAAAAATGTCTTTGTTAGTGACATGGACAGTGGGATTAAGAGCATCCTCTGCAAGACGGACTACTAAACTAACTAGTGCAGTCGACACACTGAAGGGAAGAGATGCCATTCAGAGGGATCATGACAAACTTGATGGGTGTATCTTATAGCAATTTTTCACTGCTTAAAGGCAATCTGCAGAAAAGATAGGGAGGGACTCTTTATCATATATTGTACTGATAAGATACGGGTTAATGATTTTAAACCTAAAGAGGGTAGGCTTATATTAGGCATCAGGGTGGTAAGGCATTGCAACAGAGAAGCTGTGGGTGTCCCATCCCTGGAGGTATTCAAGGCTAGGCTGGATGGGGCACTAGTGATCTAGTGGGTGGCAACTTTGCCAAAGGCAGAGGAACTGGAAATGGATGATCATTAAGATCCATTTCAACACAGAATTCTACAATTCTATGAAAATTTTATCACTGTGGTGCTCATCTTATTTATGACATTCCCTTCAAAATAAATACTATATCAACAGCACAACTGCAACCATAATTTAGCATTCAAACATTAATACAGTAATTTATAACTAATTCTATTAACAAAATCAAAATAATAGTTACAGAACTAAGAACCTGCTTCCAAAATAACCCCTTTCTCATTTCTCAGTTTCTGCAACCTGGTGCATAAAGGCAGACTCCTGTACTACATTTTTTTGTAACCTCCAACATAAGATTTATGATCTCAGCATAACAACTATGGATTTGGAAAGTAGAGAATACATAAATGCTAGGACTTGTTGGAAAGATCAGATATTCTTGAGCCACGTGGCCCTATTTACACAAACAAACAGTACCTCACTAGGCAGGGTAAATCACACTATAATATTTAAGTTACTGATAAACTTGCTAAAAAACGTACATGGTCTTCAGGCTCCAATTCTCACACTCTGACCAAAAGCTCCTGTGAAGACTACCCCCACCTTCCATACACTGCACAGCATATATAGGGAACTGGAATACTACAGACCCCCAAGCCCAGAGTCTGCCATTGCCATCACAGCTTCATTTACCCAAATACCATGCAATAAATAATTTAATCACACAAATAACATAAAAATCCTCCAAGTATACACAGACTGACAGTAGAATGTTTCAACTGAACAATAATTTCATCATAGAGAAACCTACTTTTTGTCTTCAGGTTTAATCACAGATGGATCTGTAAGGTTTTCTCCAACACCTACAACAAAATCAACAGTGTTAGCATAGGAGATTATCATGATTTCATAACACGACACTTAAGAAAAAAGTAATTACCCTTTTTCATTTTAGATCATAAAGTGTCGCAATTAAAATGATCATGAGCCAAAAAGAGAATGCCATGTTAAGTACTGGCAAACATACAGTTTTGCACTTTATTTATATGTAGACAGAAGGCTTATGCAAATACTTCTAACCGCTGACCATCGTGGTAAAGCTGAAATAACTAAGCAAAATGTGACCAGCAGTAAGACTTTTATTTAAGTCAGAGTACGAGTACTAAACTAACATGAATCTTACTGTTATCAGTAGATCTAATCCCATATATAGACTCTCTTCAAGGCAGCAAACACAACAAGCCACAACTCATTATTCAGTTATACAATGTGTAAAAGTTTGGGTCTGTTACTCCTTTTCCTTCTGCACAGCCACAGAAGTGAATTCAGTAATTTCACTATAATAATTAACTGCTGATACCTATTTTGTAGTTTTCCCAAAATGATGTAATAATATCATTTTACCAAACAGCTCTTTCCTTACATCTGAGGAAATTGCTGTACTTTTATGGAAAAGAGATTCTATAAGAATATAATATGCAGTAATTTTTATTTCAGTAGGCCACTGGTGACAAGTTTATATTCTGCTACTAACACCAGCAAAGACTACAGAAAGACCATTTTGTAACTGCAATACCCTCAAAATGCAATATTCTTCAATGAAAATCATTTGAATTGACATAAATTACACAACAATGCAGTGTATATGTATGTGGAGATGGCGCCAGTATTATATAACTTATGACAGTATTAAAACTAATCAGAACACCACGGGAAGCACCCCTTGCACTCTTCCTAAACACCAGATAAGAGAAATAAAAAATAAACATGAGACCAAAACTAGAGCAGATTTTAGTCCATTTTCTCATTTGAGATGGAAACTGAAGCTTCTCCAGTCTTGATGAGATTTACATAGATGTTTAAATTCTCCACATTTAAGCCAACACAGTTGGACTGGAACTGTCAAGAGTTGTATAATAAACTCAAGCAAACCTAAGGCAAATTCTAGTAGGCTATGGTTGAAGACACACTTTCTATATTTTTTTCATGTGATGCTAAAACGAAATGAAGGCAAGGATGGAATTATATGCTTACTTTGCATACTAAGTATATCTTTTTGTAATTCACAGCTTCTGGACGCTGTAGAATGTAAATACGCTAAGTCTCGGTCTACCCATACACATTTCCCTTGACAGAAATGACAAACAATGGTGTTTATACCATTTGATGGGTGCTGTTCATCTTGTGAACATTGACAACTGCTTTATCTCTTTAAAACGTGCCATGCTCATACTTATACACGTACAGTAAAGTGATCAAATGCTCTTTGAAGGAGCCACCAGACTTTGTGAATAGTACTCAGGTTTACAGCTTATCTAAACTGGTTACAGATTTATTAAAAGGAAAAATGAAAATACACAGACAGCAGTTCAAACTCTCCAGACAGATATACACACATTAAGTATGTATATATACATGAGTATACTTGAATCTCTGTATTATTTATATTGCTTAATAAAAATAAAAATATCTGAGCTGTGAAGTGTTTTTCTGGAGCTAGCTGAAATGTTCCCATACACTTTAAATACCTGCTGTTTCCCCATTCATCTTAGATGTACTTGAAACCAAATTATTGTCCTATAACACCTACATATAACACCTACATTAATCCAGAGTATTTCTGTTAATGCTCAGTTAATGGGACCTCACAGTAGATATCCAGAGGCTACATGAGCTTTTCCAGGTAGCAGAAAAAAAGAGTTTGGCTTGTTTCTCAGCATTAAATTCTCTTTTGAGATAATTGTTTTTCACTTGGGTTAAAGCTAGTAATCCCGTGCTAGCAGTCACCTTGCATATCCAGGACAAGGAGCTCCCCATGAGTATACACATAGGTCCAGTGAGAAAAGGCCAGCATCAGTTCTTCAAGCAAGCTGCTAGGTGTAATCTCATCTCCGTTGTTGTTATTGTATTTCCGAAATTCACCAGTCATGTACTTCTCAATGGTCAGCCACTGGTTTGCAGAATGGCAGTAAATGAGAAAAACTTCCAGGAACCTGTGAATATAAAGGAGTATGTAAGGGTAAGGAACACCTCCACAGTCACCATAAAGCATAATGCCAAGCAAATATACCAAAAGGAGAACATGTCTTCAATAGGTGGATTATTTTCAACAGCAAGAGGTACCAAACCTTAGACAGCACAACAGCTTTCTCAGTTTGGTATATAACAAAACAATGTATTTTATCAGAAGATATAGTTTATAGACAAAGAACTTAATCTGATGTCCCAGTAACACAATCCGATGTCCTGGTTTTGACTGAGATGGAACTAGTTTTCTACCAAATAGCAGGTGTTCTGCTGTCTGTGTTTTGGATTCAGAATGAGAACATTTTAGCTGTTGTAGAGTAGTACTGAGCAGAATTAAGGACTTTCCCACATTTCGTGCTGCTCTGCTATCAAGAAGCTGGAGATGTACAAAATTCTGGGAGAAGAAAGACCCAAAGTAGCAAAGGGGATATCTTGTACCACATGGCATCATGTTGAACAATAAAATTAGGGGAACTGACTAGGGAGGCTGCCCAGGCACTGGCCAGCAGGTGGTGAACAACTGCATTGCACAACACACAATATTTCATTTATCTTCTATCATTATTTTCCCTTCCTTTTCTGTCTTATTAAACTGTCTTTATCTTAACCAATGAGTTTTTTTTCTGATTCTCTCTTCCATCTCAATAAGGGGGAGCAAGCAAACAGCTATGCAGTGCTCAGCAGCCTGCTGGATTGAACCACAACATCTGATTTAACTCCAGACAACTGCAATAAGCTTTATTAATTTTTCTTATGTTAACTGCATGAAAGGTAATTCTTGTCTAAGGAGCAGCATCATGAAGAAGCTTGTTTTGCTATCACATCTAGCTATACAGGTAAAGTACAGTGATACCTGCCTTACCTTTTAAAAAGTTTTAAAGGTAGTGTGGTTTTTTTTTGGCAAATTACTTTTAGACAAATTATTGGGTAGAGATGACAATTTACTCAAACCATTATACATATTAGAGATAACGCTACAGAATGGTCACATCTAAGAGCAGTCAGGAACTCTGTCATTTGTCTCCAATTTCCCATTTTCTGTAGACAGAAATAATCAAACTTCTGTATACAGTGATGACATGGAAACTCTACCTCGCTCCTGCCCTGGAAGTTGTAGGTTCCACTAAAGTGGAAGGAGAGAAGTAAACAAGGCTTCTTGGAAATAAATCACTCAGAATCACCTATTAAAACTCATGTCATTGTACCCACTGAAGTAACTTCTATGCTGAAAACAGGAAATGCCACACGTGTCCGTACCACTTCTTTCAAGAAAGAAAAAGACCACAGAAGTAGCATCTCTGAAAGACAGAGTAAAAATGCACTGGAACTGAGGACTGTTGTGCTGCATTCATTATTTTATCTCCTCATCTCACCTTCATAAGATTCTCAACAGACATCATGTGCTGCACATTAAGCATAGACTAGTTGGCTATGCGCTATTATGCAGATGTTCACTGGTCAAAGAACTGCTACCAGAGAAAATCCAAAACAGCTCAGTTCAGCTTGCTTTTTTTTTTCCCTACATTGGCCTTAAATAGGGCACCCCTTTCTCTGCTAACCTGTTGGCAAACCTGTACCCAACAAGATAAGGGAGAGTCTGTTTTAATAAGGGGCTGTATCATTTCAAAAGTAAAGATTTAAAAAGAAGCAACTCTAGAAACGATCAATCAAAATGTGGAGAAAAAGTTAATTAGAAGGTAAAAACTCCAATACAGGTTAGAAACAGTGTCTCTTAGCACTTTCTAGGTCAGACTTGCCTTTCTATCCTAAAAATATGACAAAGCTCTTCTGGGGAAAGATCTTTTGCTTTGCCGAACTCTTATGAGCTGAAGGCCTGATGTTTCTTGGCATGCTCATTGTCGTGGCTTAAATTCCTTTCAGTAACACCCCCTTCTTTAACTCACTATTATCCCTATTATTTTCTACCCTAATTTATTTTTACATATTGATGTATTTATTTCTCTTAATTAAGTATTTAAGACATATATACTGTTTAAAGCAGCAGCTATTTCAATCTACTATGGAAAAAGAGTCTATGTTAGACCTGGGACATAGCTGAAAAAAAAAACCTTTGACACTTAATCCTTAAAGACAATGATTTTACCTTGGAGTATAGGGAATAGTATGAGGCTTCACTTGATTGAAGGTATAGATTAACTTTTGGGCAGCCCTTTGCTGTTGGATCTCCTGAAGAAAAGCATGTTGTTAAGCACTTTAATTAGGTATCATGAAAAAAAGGCAGCACTGATTGAAAAACAAACAAACAAACAAGAACCAGAGAGTTGAATATTGCTTAAAAGTGGGAGATGCATCTTCCTCAAAACCATTTTCCTTTCCAGAAGGTAACATCAAAGCACACATCAACCATACTAGACATTCACATATAAGGAGTAGAATATTTAAGACATGTCAGACTATACCAGTGTCCCTTCAGGTCTGTACTCACCCTCAGGCAGAGATGTAACACTGTACCATCGTGAAAGATCTTTTGCCAAGTCTGAACCACCTCTGGCAAAAAAGACTTCACAATAAATACTTGTCCCAACTTTAACACATCATTCTCAGACCAAGTACAAATGACCTTCATGGCCCTCCGCAGACCCCCATCCATCTCCTCTTGTGACAAGACTTGGATCATTGCAGCCATACCACGCCGGGACCAAGAAGACGTGCTTTTACTAAGGTTCATAGGTGAACTTTCTTCTAGTCGATACACAGTCACTTCCTCTCCAGCTTCAGTGAAAGAAAGTTTTGTCAGTAGAAAAACTTAGCTTTGTCAGTAGAACTGCATTTTCATTCAGTATCTTAAAATAACACACTACTTTACATACCTTTGCAAGCCATTTGTGTGAAAACTTGCCCTATCTAAGATTATATTATCTATTACTACAGATCTTTTGTGATTACATAAATGGCCCAAGTGTGTCAAACCTCCACAGATGAATTTAAGATTTCATGCATTCTTTCATAGAAACAAAGCTCAGTGATAGCCTGGTCTATAAAACTGGTTATAAAACACCCCATTTTGCCACAATTTTTAAGTACTTAAAAATAGTCAAGCCTAAAAGATGTGTATTTTTGAACAGTTATCATCTTCAACACAAACTTTAAGCATGGCTCCCTCTGTTTATGCACCATGTGGAAATGGGATTTTTAGTAAAACCTTTTTTAAGCTAATCAAGTCCCAAGCAATACTCATAATATTTTCCTTTAAACTGGGCTTAACAAAACAAACATTAGACAAAAAAAACACACAAACACTGCTTGTAATAGTTAATGACTACAACAGTAAAGGACTAGAGATTGTCACCTTTGGAGGAAGAGAACTAAGTTTTGTAGAAGTAATAATAGTGAACTGGCCATGATAAACCAGGAAAATTAGATTGAAAAGGAAATGGTCCTTCCTCAGAGAAAAGAATCCTAGAAGAATAAGCTAAAGCAAGTAAAAAGGAAGTCTATAATTCTGGCATTTTAAATTAAGATTTATCTTTTTTTCTAGAAGTTCCCATGTTTTTTGTATTGCATTAAATTTCAGTTCTGCTCTTGTTAATAACATCATTTCAGAATAAATCAAAACAAAATAAATCTGTGATATCCCTACACACATAGGGTCACGTCATGTCTCCTGCTTATTTTCAAGAAAACTACAACAGATACAAAGAGCACAATAACACTATTTCATAGAGGAAATTCTCAGTAACAAAACACTATTTTTCAGCGTAGTCTCTACTATTAGCTATGCATTTTTGCTAGTACTGAACAAGAGCCTGCATGCCATGCTTGTAAAAATCTGCTCCAGTGAAGGTGGCGCACTTTTTCACAGGTGGTGACAATGTTGTTGCTAGAACATTGTCCATCCAACACTGTTCATGCAAGCATCTTTAACTGGCCAGAACAGATGGAAATCAGAATGTGTCAGATCCAGACTATACAGTGAGTATGGTAGGACAGTCCAGCCAAAATAGGCGATGAGCTCGACTGTCTTCAAATTGGTAGAGGGCCTAGTGTTGCAATGTTGTCTTTCACATCACTGCTGGCACTGCTGAAATGCACTGCCCACTGTCTCACTGTGCTCACATCCACCATTTAGCTTCCATAAATGCTCTGTAATATCAATGATCATCAATAAGTGCTACTTTTTCTGCATGGAGGAATTCAAGGACACACCTTTGTTTCATATGCACATCCATGTCAGATGCTGTTCCAACAGACTGCCCCTCTGCTGCCATCTGTCACACGGCAGCAACATGTAACAGAACACTGGTGGGAAGATTCCACCTCTTCAGCCACACCACTAACATCTGCATCTGACATTGTGGGCCAATGTAATAAAATAGGAGACATTACTTTTGGAGCAGCTCTGTTAGTTGTTAGAGCGTTCATCTCTTATGATGCAAGCAAGACACACTTCTGTTTCTATTCACTTCTGTTTCTTTTGTGTAAATTAACACAAAAGTGAACTCAATTCACTCTACTTGCCATGTGAATTCATTACAAACAGATCTTAACTGCTAAGTAGGATGAAGTAACTATCTACAAATAGCAAATAATGACATAACAGAGGACAAACTGAATTCAGAGAGAAATATTTCATTCCTGCCCCTGAGCATATTTTCATCAGTCAGCATTGATGCAGATGCTACTGAATGCCCCAGTGCAAATGTTTTGATTTAAAATTAAGCAATGGAAAAGTCAGTGTATTACACATAAGAAAGACACTTGAATAAGGGTACTGTAACTATGCACATTTCTTTCTTAAACTTATATTAATTCTTCATTTTAGTATCTTTTGACAATTTAATACCTTGAAAGGTGCCTGCTGGGAGTCTCAAAGATTAGAATGTTCAATATGCTCATAGCTGTATTAATTATCTGTAGCAGTCTGGTCCCAAGAAATCCTATGATGCTGCAAGTATCAGCAATTAGTTGCTGTGAGAGAAAATATTCTACTCATTGAAGAAAACATACCTAGATCATGTCTAGAGGCAGACCTTCTGCTGCTGTAAACTAATACAGCACACTAACTTTGAAACTCTATCAAACAATCTTATATATCCTTCTCTTCCACTCTTTAGTTACAGTACATATCATTTTTCCCTTAGAACAGTGTCCTTCCAACAAATGCCTGTTTTTCTTGTCTTTTTGACCAGATGTCCTGACATATATATTGAGATAAGGTGGTGTAGTAGTGAGAATGCATTTATAAACATTAGGGGAATCTCATTTCTATCTTCATCTACCTAACGAGAAGTTATAGAGAAAATGAAGTTAGACTCCTCTATGAGGTTCACAGTAATCACACGAATGTCAACAGACACAAGCTGCACCTCGAGATACTCCATGAAATAATTTTTTAAAAGCGATACAGTGAAGCAGTAAAACACTGAAACAAGTTGTCCAGAGAGTCTATGGAAGCTCTGTTTATATTCAAAAGACAAATGGACAGACCCTCAGCAAGCTGATCGGAATTGGTCATCCAGGGAGTTGGACCAGACAAGCATGAAAAGTCTGTAAATTACTACATGAATCCAATTCTATCTTAGTTCACTTCTTTCAGAAAAGAAGAAATACTGAAATTAATTCAAGGCGACGTCTCAAATTCAGTCTTTTCAAAATAATGCATGGAACATTCCTATAATAAGAAGACATAACCAGGAAATTGGTACTCACCGAAGAGCTGGACTGGTGTAAATGGTATGGTCTGAGCAAGTCTCATTAAGTTGTTTCTTTCGACAGCTGCAAATAAGACAAATTTCACTGCTATATTTAATAAATAACAAGCCAACTGACTTTCAAAAACATCTGACAACTCTTTAATGAATGAAACCAAGTAGGCTGCAGTGTGGTCCTGAGTCAGATCTTCTGATTGCCATTTGTGAGGCCCCATCCAGCCACCAGCTCTCCTTTGCACGCTGTCGTATACCACAAGCATCAACCTCCATCCTTTTCACTGCTCATTGCTTCCCTTCTTACAACAAAACAGTCTGTGGGAAAAGAGCCTTGCACTGTGGCTAGGAGGACTGCTTCTGCTTTTCATCCTTCTTCCAATAGAAGCTGCTACTTCCTCCTCCTGCCAGTTCCAGCGCAGTGCACTACGCCAGTAAGATGCGTTGGCCTCAGCTGCCCTCACATACTGTTTCTGCCAGGCTCACAAATGCCTGGGGTTCTAGCAAGGCAATACAGGAAAATCCAAGCTTGCCCTACAGAGCATAGCGTCATCATCTGGGCTCCACGCCAAACACAATAATTAATTTTATTATGCCTCCTTAACTGGGGACTTTTTCCTCAGCCAAACACCTTCAAAAGTCAGAATGCCAACTAAATATTTATGGACTTGTTCTCACAATGACTCAGTTATTGGGAAATGGAAGAGAGCTGCAGAGTAAGCCTCAAGGAAACTTAAGAAGAAGACTAAGAGTTTCTAAAGAGACTAGAAAAAAAAATCTCTTAGTAGACTAGAAGAATGCAAACCATACACTTACTACCTTAGCTGCGTTTCTCTGAACAGCACCCACAAACTCCTTAAGGATGATTTCTGGAGCTTAGACTCCGTGTCCTTTTTTTTATTCTTCTCTTAATTAATTAGAGATTAATTAGCCCAAAAGGAGAGAGCAAAGGAGACCCATGGCATGCCAGTTCATGACTGTACAGTTCTCATATCAGAAGAGCTGTCTTTCAGACTTTATTAAAAGGCTTGCCTACATATTGCGAGACCAACAAGCACTGGATAATTTAGCTTTTGAAAAACAGACTGAAAGTCAAGATTCTTCCTTAATGCACCACTATAAACATACTCTGGTCACTAAATTACTGCATACCAGGAAAAAGGATGTAAATAAGGCAGGTGTCACAAACGTGCTGTCTGTCAGACTCTGTCAGTGTCCACTCCACAGCCTTGAGAAGCACTGTGAAGTCACTTTGCACCAGCTGCTAAACCTGGAGGAAAACTCAAGCTCTTTTGACTGTGCAGAGAAGCAAAACTGTATTTGACTGTAAAACATGATAGCAAAAGAAACCACAAGCAGTATAATGTACAGGATTTTGGAATCATAGAATCACAGAATCCTTAAAGTTGGAAGGGTCCTTTAAAGGACATCTAGTCTAGGTGTACAAACACCTTCAGTGGTGTAAGTCTAACAGAATTTTTAAAAAGGACTGGACAATGCAAATAGCGCTCAGGGACACGATTTAGCAGAGGGTTGTTAGGATAGCATGATTAAGTTGCAGTTGGACTTGATGATCTTTAAGGTCTTTTCCAACCTGAGCAGTTCTACAATTCTATGACAGTCCAACTCACCTGCCATGAACAGGGACACACACAGCTAGATCAGGTTATCCAAAACATGATCCAGCCTGAAAAGTCACCAGGGACAGGACATCCACCACATCTCAGTCTGAGTTTTATTGACTAATTTCTAGCCCAAACTTCCTGATAAAAGAACACCTATTCTGGAAACATCTCAAGACCTTTGTCATCTTGTCATATAAATGAGATTGTCATCTGCACTACAAAGTCCTATCCAATTTCAAATGGCATGCATGATGAGAGCCAAATTAATCATTGTAACAATGCCACGATGTCAGAGAAATTACTGCTGTACACTGATTACTAACCAGGAATCGTTATTCCCAATGAAAACCACGTCGTTTTTCAAACTTCATAAGGCTGTTAATGCTTTCAGTTTACCCTATGCCCCCCTTGAAAGGAGCGAAAGCCATGCAGGCAACAGAGACATCTACTGGTAAGCTCTGCACAGTTCTCCTCTGGGGAAAAAATGAAATCCAAGCCTTGTGGAAAAATCTTTGCATATTCAGTTCAGGAAAAGACAGGACTGTGGGCAATTAGCATCCCAATGATTTATTTCCTGCCAGATTTCCATGAGCTCATAGGTATATAAACACGGATTAGGTAGTACAGTACCAATTAACTGAAGAAACCAATTCCAGCAATTACAAAGGAGGATGTGGGAGGTGTGAGGGGATATGATAGCTATCAACAAATGAACATCTCTCCTGGCCTCCCCAGGAATCAGAGGAATCACTGTTTCCACTGATATTTTGAAAGCAATTATCTACATTCTGCACTGAATTTGCCACAAATAACTGGAATGGAGCAATTAGCAGCAGGAAAATAATTCATAACTTCCTCTCTGCTGTATTAGGCATGAATTAATGCAGAACCTTCTTAGCAGTAGTCAATTGTGCAAATCTTCCAAATGAAAATCACAGAAAATGACAAGGGATGAACTAATGTTCTTTTTAATTTGATAAATTACTCAGCTATCATTCTTGTGCCTCCTGCTTACCTGAGTAATGACACTGCAGATCTGGAGCTGTTTTCAAGCATCCAAACATATCTGAAATAATGTTTAAGGGATCATTATGTTAATTATTATAGCAGAGATGAATGCATGATTTTTTATTTCTTCCATCCCAGAGTTTGTCGTGAAACAGATTAATCAGAATTACTGTCTTAGCATTCTAAAGAGGAGAATTACTAATGACTTAAACTGTTACAACATACAGTTGTATTTTGACAGATTTCAGTCACCAATGTAATATAGCCAGGCAACTTATTTATTCAGGGAAATGGTGGGAAACTAGTGATATTAACCTCAAGGACATGTAACTTTTCTGAGCCAATTACACCTCTGGGATATTAAAAGCATTTTGCTGTCCATCATGCTTCACAGTCTCCCAAAGGCACAATTTTTCCAACTCCATCTTCAGTCATTAAGCATTCCATTAACTATACTATTACAAGAAAGTTATAACAATACTGGCTCATTAGTCCACAATCTCAAATGCTCTTAAAGTATAAACATACACCAATTTCCGTGGTTGCATGCATAATAGGCATAGCCACATAAGATTTAGTCCAAAAACTTTTGTTTTAGAAAGTATCTTTTTAATAAAGCCAAGATTAATAAGCACATTACCATTATATAGATGAAATTACTTCATTCTATTGGAAAATAATCCTTCAAAATGCTAAGTTTAAAAAAACGACAACAAAAAAACAGCCCACAACATTTTTGCTGTAACACTTTCAATTCTGAAAAATGTGTTAATCAGAACTAAATCTTCATCAAACTGTGTGAACATTACCCTCCTCTTGTTTGTATATTTTATCTAGTCAGCATCTCATCCCTAACAGAAGAGGTTTTAAATGAAGAACATAAACAGCTGCAAGGTGATTGCATTTCCAATAAGTCCCTCTTTTGATCTCATTCTTGATAGACCCAACTAGCTCTGTTGCACTTCATACACTGTCAAACAACAAGCATGAAAAGGGGAGTGCAGGCCAACTAATTCCTTTCCAGAGTGGGAATCAAAGAAATTGTGCATTCTAGAGAAAAACCCTAAAACATCTCATACTCGCAGCAGTGTGCTTCACCACAGCCTCATTTCGTGCACGAACTGATCCAGCAAGATCATACATGGAAAGTAAATAGTCAAAGAGCATCTAATTTCTGCATTACAGCTATCTTCAGTGAGATACAAGTCCAGATGCACAACCTGTTATTGCTAAGTAGCATATCAGGAAAAATGGAAGACAGACTAAAAGGCAACAAAGTTTGACTGTTGAACAAAGTCAGCCCTCATTATGATCCCGAATTTCCTCATTGGCCATTCCATAATGAGTTCAATGTTTCACCATCCTTCTAATTTCAGTGAAGCCATCCAAACAAACAGAGGAATTACACCAAACAAGCATTTGAAAAATCAAGCATATATTAGAAACTGTACATCATAATCTATTCTCAGATGCAGACCCAATTTTAACTGAGGACTTCTCTCAGACAAGGATTAAACTTGTGAAGAGATTACTCCTCCAGGAAATTATGGAGCAGACCTAAATGAAAGTAAGTTTTTTCTTTCAAAATTTCACCACCACCTTAGATAAAAGATTGCACTTTAAGATAAAATCAGGAAACAACACATGAAACAATTGTTAAACATTTCTTATAGCTACCAAATAGAGTAAATTGATTTTCTTTTGGATTACGTATTTAACAGCGGTCGAAGTAGTATTTGCAGAAAGGAATTGAAATGAATGGCAAGTAACCAGAAACTTACTGTCAGTTCTTTCTGCAGCTCTCAACCTGTTTAAAAGCAAACATTCGATATTTTACTTCAAAGTTCCCATCTTTGAGCTAATACTGCTACATATAAAGAAAGATGACCTATATGAAAACAAAAAGTTCATGTAATTTACAATGCAGGATCAGCATTAGCATCTGATTACCTTCAATCACATGCACAATTTTTTGAACCATGTGAATCGATGCTGAGATGTACTCAGAGCAACATATGCCATTGCCATTGCTTACATAAAAACAGACTTTTTAAACTCATGGTCCTTTGGATTAGCAAGGCTGCAAGAGACAACAGCATCTTTGTTACAGAACACAATGGATGTGATTTCTGTATCACACCAGTGAAGACAACAGACAAAGCAACAGAATCAGGCTACTCAAAAGTCTGTGAATCCTGCTGGTAAGTACATGGTTTGGCTACTGCCCATGAATGACTGGCTTAGAAGACAAAAAAAAAAAAAAGACAAAGACATAGGATCTATCAAACAAAAAACCATTCCTAAAAACATTCAAAATACTTACAAAAACAGTATTATTTTTAATAAATACAACTGAAGTTTATTAACTACTGAAAACACATTATATAATCAAGCTACATATTTTGTAAATATCCAGACTTAGTAAAAAAGAGATCAGTCATGAAAGAAGAGGTTCCAGGAGCTGCTAGGATTTAAATTATTGATTAAAAAAACATGCAATTTTCATAGCAATATTACGTGCAATTTTTCATGCTTACTAGATTGGCTAGTTAGTCTCTGAGTAATCTCAGAGACTGAATGAGAAAATTTATTATTTCTACAATACAAAGGTATGTCCATTTCATCTAAAACTCTACTCTTTCTTTTAATGGATTTCTTTACCTTCATTAACAAGCCTTCACTTAAAGAAACTAAAACAGATTGAATTGCCTTAACTGTTCATTTCACATCAATTTCTCATCTTAAGTATAAGTGGAAGCCTGTACAAGAGTACAGAATTCTCTTTCTAAATATGTGATAAATATATTAATATACTAGTAATACATACGAGGAGTTCCTGCTCAGATTACTTCTGTGGATGCTTCCAGACATGCTGTTACTCAAATCCTATAAAGAAGAAAGATATTTTTATTGGTAAAATCTGTACATCACTGTCACATATTCATTGAGCAATTCAAAAATGTAAACTCTTGAAAACATTTCTTGATAAGCTAGTTGTCAAGATGAATAACCCCACTGACAGGAGAATCACAGCATTGTCACACGCACAGTAAAATGGAATATTAGTTTACTCAGACTGCAGTTCTCCACTGTTGTCTCTATATAATTCAACAAAATACTCAGGTTCAGAGCTATTATCTCAGTGCAGTGGTGACGGCAACACACTGAGTAGTTCTCCAGTGACTTTGCTAAATCATTTTGCCAGTCTTATAGTTAAAGAAGTATGCAAATCATTTAGTCTTCTAGCTCAGTTAAAGAAAATAGGGTCGCTCTGCTATTTTCAAGGTTCTTCTAAAGTGCTGGTCAGAGATGGGACTACTCTTTTGAACAGAAAATTTAGGTAGATTATAAAATCCTCAAAAGCAGCAGAGCTTAACATCTAAAAATGAATTAATTCAAATTTTGCTTTGAATATTTTCTGAGTCTTAACTCTCATTTTTTTTTAATTTCACAGTTCACTCATGTTTTCACCTTGCAGATTGTTTGCAGATGAAAAAATCTTTAAAAAAACAGAAAAATTCACACACACACCTCTGCTTTGCTCCCTACTACCCATCAGGAAGGATTTCTGAACAACAACTATTCAATGAGTAAAGCTGGGAGGAGTCACTTCAAGGAAAATTAATTAATTTAAAATATATCTTAAAGAGAAATGAAGAGATAGATGCAGCAATATCATAACATCTCAGTGACGTACATACAGAATTTCATAACCCAGAAGGTACGTAAGAGGAGGCATAGAGATGAGGTAGTATTGGAGTCTATGCCTTAAGTGAATAAATAATTTGAAATTTGTATTCTTGAAGTGACTTGTTCAAGCCCAACTCTGATCCAACTGTAACCAATGAAACTTTTTCTGAGGGTTCTAATAAAGAACAATGTAGCTAAGTTTCCAGAAATCATTTCATTGTGCTGACCAATTCCACTCACAGGTTCAAGACCAAGTTCTCTACTCGTTCACTGCCTAGTGAGACACCAACATACACTTCATTTCTGACCACTTTCTTTATACTCAAACCACTCTGTGATTCAATAATTTAATATCCTACCTCAATAACATTCAACAGACTGTCAGCAGCTCTCAAATTATTTATTTACTTGCACGTATGCGCTGTGCCAATATACAAGGAAGTTTCTCATGTCTAAAGAGGCATTTCATAACAAAGGATCTACAGTGGCAAGCCCATGAAGGTCCATACTACTACCCTACGCTCTAAAGAGAAAGCAGCTATGGACTAGGATGTATAATCTCAGGTCTTACCTCCCGAGAATTCCTCAGGTAATCACAGAATTGTATGGTATGCCTGTGGATGTCTTGATTTTTCATTTTCTGGTGCATGTAACTGAGATATTCCAAACCTAGCCAAAAAAGCAGGTATCAGCTATTTCCAGAGTGTGTATGAACAGCTCTAAAGCTACAAACATATGCAGCTCTATAAAATAAACACCTACATACCATATTGCCCTAGCACGTGTTAAAGGCTATAAAAGCAATAACAGAATTTCATAGGGTGTTTCCATTCTCTGTTAGACTTCAGAGGAGTGCAGCCTTCTCAGGCCATGCTGTGCTGAGTCACAGTCTTGTGTCTCTCCCAGCAGCTTGCAGGATAGAACTAGAGAGCTGCACACTGCAAAGCTTAAAGATAAAATAGTCTATGCAAGTATTTCTTAGCATGAAAGAGCTGGAGCACTGTTAAAAGAAGAATGCCATTCCCTTTTCATTTCAGCAGAAATGATGAAGAATTCATTTATTCACTTTAGAGGATGTGTTTCAGAGCAATGAGTAATGAATAATGCATCCAGAGAATCTGCCAACAGATACAGTATCACAGCACTGCTTTGTGAGTGTATGTGCCCTGAAAAATTTACCAGAGTTTATTTTCACAATAAGCCAGAACACCATTTCAGAAGACACTACAGGAAAGGAGACAAGGATATCGTTCTCCCTGCTTCCCACTTATTCCTGGGAATTACATTAGTACTTTACTATTTCCCACACAGGAAAGGTAACATCCCAAGAAAGACACAGCTGACCTTTCATCCCTTTTTTCTCTGACACAGTATAATAAATAACAAGTCATGCATGCCTGGAATCTATTTCTAATTCTGTAAAAATCGTGCCAGAAGATAAATGCAGAGGATAACACTTGGAGTTTATGAATTTTTATTTACTGATTCTTTTTCAATGCTGCCCTGAATTTTACTGTCTACAAACATCACATACTTAGCTGACTGAAATTAGACACAGTGAGCCAGTTCTTCCTGTGTTTTTCTTCCCCATCCCAGAGACCAATCTCTGTAGGCTCTGAGCTCACTTGGGTGTTCAGGGAACAACCATCCACTCGAATCACCTGGCAAGACACAGACAAAACAAAATTCGATTTATAGAATGACTATCACCTCTGCCTTTCTTCTGATAGTTGTGCTATGACACAGACTTTCACAGCATTACTGAAATGCCAGTGACTGAACTGGCTTCCAACTGACAAAAGTTTTCCCATCTTTATTAGAAGCTGCAGAAGTCACATTGCTTTTGTTGAGTAAATTAGTGGTATTGTAGGTTTCTAAAACAAACTTAAAGTCCCTCAGAACACCTCAAGAGACAATTAGGTCTCAAAGTTCAAGTCTCAGGTCTGTTGCCCATTTGAGCATCTCATGTAAACAAATCAGTCTTTATCTTTTGTTTCATTAAATAGGAATAACTCTTTTCAGATAATATTTTTAATATATATACATATATACAGTCAATGTGCAATCTACAATGTGCTAACTGGTTAATGGATTCAGAGAAAACACTCTTACACTGTAGGACTCATACACAAGTAAGAACAATTGCAGGTCAGTAGAGTACAGACAACACTTCTGCTCTAGATCATGGGAATCCTCCCCAAGTGATTCCGCCAGCTAGAGTGCAAAGGATAATTCCTCTCTGTGTGAAAGAACTCTCGATCCACTATTGGCAAAATCTACAAGTTTAATCACTTTTAAAACTGAAATCCCATGCATTCTAACAAAAGGGAGATTAAACCAACACCAGACACACACACACACAAAAAAAGCATTTCCCACTTTCTGTGCAGCATTTCCACCATACATTACACCAAAACATTTTCAATTCACCTATATTTAGTCCTACATTACAGAACTGCTCTTACTGAGTGAAAAAGACAGTTATGAGATATATGCTTCTCTTCCATCTACACATACCGGCACCTGAAGGGGTTTTTGATCCTTCTTTTCTCTCCCAGACTTTCTGTCTCTGTTTTGTTGTTTTGCTTTTGTTTCTTCACTGTGGTGTAGCTCACAAGATGGTAAAGACTCTGTGGGAAAGAATCAAAAAAAACATCATTAAGCTACAGAGCTTTTGTTTACAAAGAGACGATCTGATAAGACTGAGAGTTGGCAGATCTCCAAAGCAAGCTGAGAAAGACTTGCGACATCCGAAGACAATACTCACAAAATTTATGCAGTTCGGTACAAAGATGGTCACCCATCATAAGACAGAAAACAGCAAATGTTATCTATAATCTCATAGTGTTTATACTTAGAAGTGAAATCTGCTATATTTAAGCTGTCCATAAGAAAACTTGGCTGTGGACAGGGAGGATTTTAAGCCTGCTGTAAAAGTGTACACCTATTCATTCTCAACAGAACCTTCTGACTTATGATAATGTCAACACATCTCTCAGGGTTCTGTAATTTCTTCCGTTTTCTGTAATTCTTAGATTGCTTCACCAGGGTAGGAAACTACCCTAGAGCCAGTACAGTTCCTCTAACACCACAACTGAGTAGCCAAAGCTGTGAGATGCAGACAATCAGGGTGGGACTGTTTTGTGGCTGACACTATGATGCCACCCAGCTCAGACACCAGGCACAATTTAAAACTCCCCCACAGCAGTGATTCCCAGCACAAAGAAAATGAAGGAGTAACTGTTTGCTTACTACCCTTAGCTGTGCTGAGGTATCAGAGACACTTCTTAATAACTTCTTGAGTTTCTCAACAAAAGATACTGTAGAGGTACAGCATTTTATTTTTACCATCTGTGGCCTTGCAGCTTTTCCCTCTCCTCTCTTTTTTAGGGGATGGTAAGTTCTTGCAGAAACTCCATTGCTTCCAGAGTGGACTGATCCACGAGGTGCTGTGTTTCAGTTTATTCTCAGAAATGACGACGCTGTGCCGTGAGCTGTTGGAGTTATAGGAGAAGGACTTAGATTCTTTTATCTGTATGTGCGTGGGAGGTCTACTTGTACAACTACAGTCACAGTTAAAGGTGGAATGTATGCACAGGTCCTTCTTCTGTTTCTCCCTTGAGCTGAAAACCCCTTTTTCATCACCTTCAGAGAATCCCCAGTTCACATAACCACCTTCGGTTTCTTCCCTGTCATCACAGTAGGGTGCTGCATTTTCTCTTACTTCAAGCGATGTCTGGAGACTGAGAGAATGATCAGCATCTGTGGCATTAGTCTTTTTTGAAGGCAGGTGAATAATAAAGTCTCTCTGATTCCATTGATAATTTTCTGGCTCTTTTTCAACAAGGCTGATGCTCTGCAAGTTTTGCTGCACAGCAATGCTGCTTTGCAGTCCATCATTGAATATGTCTTCCCTGTACTTGGTAGGAGTGCTCGAAAAGGACAAGTTTAAGGTGATGGTGTCAGAGAAAGGTGCCCGCTGGTGATCAGGAGGAACTAGCAAAAATTGTCCATATCTGGGGGATGACTTAGACTCAGAGGACACACCTGAAGTAAGTGTGTTATCACTTTCTATCTTATGAGAACTACCTTCTACCAGCTTGTCACTCTCAGTCCTCAGTATGTGGTCTGTACATTTTGATGGCTGCTGACTCCTCACCAAGCTCCCTAAGAGTGAGGGCGGCATGCTGTAGTAGTGATACTTCTTGTCATACAAACATTCTAGACTGCTCAGGGTCTTGGAATAGAGTACATTGTTCCAACTGTGGGGCAGCTTTCTACAGGGTCTATGTTTTTTGTCAGCCAGTAAGGCTTCTTCCACCTGCAGTGTGTCTACAGCTGAAAGCACTTTCAGGATGTCCACTGTCAAAGCAGATAGGTCTTGCAAATGTCCCAGCTGGCTGTCCAAGGAAAGCAAAGATTCCTTGATATAAAATACCTTCTCATACACCTCTTTCAATTGCAGAAACATCTCCTCCACCCTAGATGAAAAAAGAAATGATACTTAAAATATCTTGACTTCAGCTTACCAGATGATTAGCACATGAACACATTTTAAAACAGCACTATTTTAAAAAGTCTTTTGTATTTTTTATGGTGACTTCCATTCCCATGAAAATGTGTATTTGGCAACCCACAGAGGCTTGAAACATGCCATTCAGTTTACTGAGCCAAAAGTCAGTGATTGTTAAGGAAGTAGGCTTTTTGCTCAGTAAGTATCTAATAAAAAATACCACATTTCTACTAATCCCCATTTCATGATACAGAACCACTAAGCCATGGACAGGAGGTCAAAGCTTTAGAAATGCTGCATTGTAAGTGTAAATGCTATAAAAATAAATATAAAATAAGTACAGTATTTCTTGTCGGTCAGTTATCTTTCATTTCTACACTTCCTGTGCAAACATGAGAAAGATAAAGCTTCATGCTACGGATACTCTACAGATACTGTTCCATTTCTCAAATACTGTAAACTGCTAGGAAAATGGTCTTCTCAACAACTTGTAAAGCCTTTTGGAACATATTTTGGTAAATTTGTTTATATCAGTTATCTTAAAAAAAAAAGTCAGCTGAAAAAGAAGCAAAGCCTTTTTAATGGTCTTCGAATTTCCAGTGAAACAAACAAGAACTTGGCCTGAAACAGTATTTTTTTAACCAATTCATTATCTTTACATCTGTTAAAGGTACTCCCTCTGGTACTCTGCTGGAAGACAGCATCCAGTGGGAGACACCTCACACGGAGCAGGGAAAGGGAATGACTATGAGGGAGTGGTAGATGAAGAACTGCTATGGTGTCACAACAGCCCTTCTCTGTGTGGAAAAGGAGGTAGAAGATAGTCAATGTGGGAGAAGGTGTTCTTAGTTTGATTTTAGTTTCTCACTGCTTTAGTCTGTTAGTAATAGTCAATAAATTATATTAATCACTCTATGCTGAGTCCGTTTTGCCCATAACGGTAACTTGCGTGCAATCTCTCTGTCCTTATCACGAGCCCTTTTTTATTGTGCTTTCTCCCCTCATTCCTTTGAGGAGCGGAAGTGGTGAGAGAGAGGTATGGTGTTCAGCTGCCAGTCAGTATGAAACCACCCAAATCCCATAAAGCACCTGCACACTCTACAAATACGCAGGGATACAATTCTGCCAGCAAGGCTTCACAGCCAGGCTCAACATTTGGTTCAAACAGAAAAGTTACATTTCCATCAAATTAGCAGGGCCTACATGTGCCTCTCATTTTCATAATGGCCATAACTGCTAAAAAAGCATTAGTAGTCCTTTTATAGAACTAATGCATACAAAGAGCACAAATGTGTAGCAAAACATACTTATCTGTCGTCACACGGATCCTTTCGCTGTCACTGGAACTCAAGCTTTCATTCTTCTCATGAAAATATTTTTCCACACATTGTTCCTCAAAGTCATGGAGTTTCTTCAACTCGTCATCACTCAGGTACAGCTCTATATAAAGAAGTAGAAGTTGGTAAGAAGTGTGCTGACAAATGCAACTGTTTATAAGCGTCCATGAAAAAAAGAAAACTGCCAAAATAGGTTTCCTCCTTTGTCAACAGGCCTAATTCCATGAAATTTGGGATTATAGAAAAAAGTTCAAAAGTGCCAAATACACAAAATTGTATTTTTCATCTTCTCTTAGGCAGGGAACAAAAAAAAACCCCACTGACGAGAATTCCACTGTATTTCCTTTTAAAAACTCAGCATTACATACTGACTGTTCACAAACATTTACTTTCTCCCAGACTCACAAAACTTATATAGCAGTATGTAAGACTTATGAAGATATTACTGCAATTTGGTAGACATTCATTAAGCAGACACTCATTAAGCAGTGATATTTCAGATATTTCAGGTATTTATTCAAAGCTGTGAAGGCTTTTTTTCACTTAATTGCTTTACATTTTCATAGGCATAAAATATGAAGCAAGACCACTGGCAGAAAAAAAAAAAAAAATTCAAAAGTTTTAAATTCCACAGTTTAGACTGCTCATAATCCTATTATTCACTTTCTCTCAGAAATCTTATACAGACACCAAGTAAGATTTCTGAAAGAATGGATCAATTATAAGTCAGTATGAAGGAATGCATATGAAGGAAAGCTACTTCTCTGATACAAATTCCACATCTTCCAAGTTTCTTTTCTTTTTAAACACCAGAGTTCCCACTGTGCTTGCAAGAAATTATCTATGCCAAGCAACATGTCTGTGTTTGTAATAGGTGCATACAGCTGTAACAAACAGCATCGCAGGGGAGCACCACAACATGCCTGAGACACTGAATCACCTGCTGAGCTCCTTTACCTCAGACCTCTTTGTAACCTTGCTTCAAAGATTTCACATTCTCTGTGAGGAATTTTCATTGATTTTCCACAGGGTGGCACTGGATCCTCATTGCTAAAAGCAATTTTTTAATCACAGCAAAAATTTAAGTACAAGAAACTTGTCAAGCAATATACAGGCATACAGAAAAGGAACACAAGAGCATATAAATAGGAAAAAAAAAAATCACTTTCCGAGAAAACTATAGGCAAGGTATGAGCTCTCTTCTATCTCAGGACTTTTGAACATGCTAAGCAGTCAGAATTTTCATGATGCCTAATGTACCTTGCAAGCAAGAAACTCACTGTGCTCTGACAGTAACTTACACTACACATGCATATAAAAAGAGCAGTGATACTTCAAAGGCAAGCTGATGCGTTCATCCATGAAGAAGAAGCTGAGCCTAGGAGCAGCAGTAAAGCTGCTTCAGCATTGATTAGTTAAGCTCATTTTTGAAACCTGTAAAGCTGTAAATTTTGAAATCTGTACATGGCAGATATGTTGACACTTTCATGTTCAGTAGAGAAAATCTTGAATGAATTGTAACCCAAAAAGGGTCTGATCAGATCAGTTATTAGGTATCAAGAATGTTCTCAAATGTCAGGTATTACACCCCCAGTTGCTGCCATGAAGTCAAGAACAGACTCTGCTATATGTAATGTACTCCATAAGAAGTCAAGGACAGGAGTCACTTGCTGAAGCATCTTTTTTATGAGCTGCTAGCACCTCTCACTTCAAAATACTCTGAACTAACTTAAATACATGATTCTCATTACAAAAGGAACTGAGAGCAGGAGTCTCATCCAATTCAATGGCATTTCACTTAAACTTTAATTTATGAACCACAAACCCCAACTACCTAAGCTCCAGAAAAAGAAAGTGTAAAAACTTAATGGTAGGAGGATACATGGGGAAGAAGCCATTGAATGTTATCAGAAAAAAAATACAAAGTAATCAAAAGCATTTGAACTTTGGGCAGTTAAAAAGGAATTGATAGTCTTCCTAGGATAAACGTGCAAAAATGTAGGCTTCCAGTGTTGTTTCTTAAAAATGGGGTCGTTCTATACTACTGAAAAAGTCAGCATCATGTTATTTCACGTCTGAGTTGTGATATATCTATGTTGTTTCAGAAGGGTAAGTCTACAACATCTTGCCAGTTATAGGCCAGCTGCAACGAAAATAGCTATGACTGAGCACAATGAAAGTTAAAACTGAGAGTCAGAGCCTGACTAAGTTCTTCACTGTTACTATCTACATTACATCTTAACCAACGCACAAAAAGTGAGGAAAGCAAAAGCCAAATAAAAAGCAACACATTCCCCTAGTCACTTCTTTTCCTATAAGCTGTCTCACAGGTACACTAAATTCTGGCTTGCAAATGAAAACAGCTGCTGGCCTGGAAAATCTCTTTCTTGAAAAACTGAGCTACAAAGAGATTTGAGACTGGCAAAATATTCTTCATAAGCTATTTCTGCTGGCCCTTTGATTAGCTCTGCTTACTCAGTCCAACGTCACCTTCCTCTTGATCAGACTCATTTGAGGGTTGATGGCGGAAGATGCGGTTTATCAGAAGTCCAATGTAGCTCAGGAGAATGAAAGGTGGAGGCAGCCACGGCTTCTCATGATAGGTCATAATGTAGCGGTACCGGTTGTACTTCCAGAGCTTGTTCGATATGGATTTCAAATCATAATAAACATTACTGAGAAGACATAAAGGGATAAGGAAGGTAAAACATTCCTGTGAGGACCCTTCTGAATACAGCACAAGATGCCTGTCTAAAGATCTGATGTGACACAAAAGAAAAGTCCCATTCCTCCAGTGAAGTTAAATCAGCTTAACAACTTTCATTTAACAAAGCAGCAGCATGTGCCTGCAGCTACAGCACAGAGAATGAGATCTTCAAAGCTGCCTAACAAACTGGGAGATCCAATTCCCATTTACATTAATGGGAACTGGGCAAAAAAACATCCCTAAAGTGTCTTTGAAATCTCAACCAGATTATTTAAACTGTAATACATAGCCTTTGTGGGAATTCAACATTGTCTGCCTCTTTGGACTGGATTAAGTACATGAATCAAGCTAAGGGAAAAGTGTTAACAACATTTCTACTGCCTTTTTGGGGCACTACTCCTACAGCAAAATATGTGCTTTAAGAGGCAGCTACATAAGCAATTCTTCTGTGGGTTACTCTTTGGAGTAGTGGTATTACTAAATATGGCTCTTCTGTCGTACAGAGCATTCTCTGCACTATGACTGATCCAAGTAAAGGAAAACAACTTCATGGCCTCTGGCACTTCAGTTTCAGTTGCACAGTCAAACTAAACACTCAACATATTTTCACAAAAACATCAGCTTTGCTTTTGGGAGCATAATTAAATATATTGCTCATACTCATTTTTGGTCCCAATTCTGGAACAATCAAATCACTAAGCAGAAGGTTTAACATATCATCATTGCTAAAGGTTTAAATCTAGAAATAATTCAAATTACAATTCCACATCAGTGTATTAAAGAAAAAAATTAATGCCTTGCTACAATTTCAAGAAAGGGATTTCTAATTGGATGTGGGAATAGAATGAGTTCTGATCATTCCATTTTCCAGAATATTAATCACTACATTTCTAGCTTAGAAATTTTTTCAACCTACAGCTGACTTCCCCAAAAATGCTATAATTCTAGAAAATTAACTACTTGGGTTACACTGTTCTTTACTAATATTGACACAGAACTTGAATCATTTCAGTGGTTTCCTTGCTAAAACTCAAAAGGTTAGAATCATTATAAAGACATTAGTAAAAGCCTCCTACTCTGGCAGCAAATATTAAAAAACAGATAGTTCAATACACTATGGTTAGATTTCAATTCTAGACCACAGAAAATTGCATGGAACAACAGGAATTTTCAAATTTCTAAAAGGAAGAGCGTGCTCCTCCAAAGCTGTTACTCCCTTCCCTTATTATCTGCTAATTTACATCTTGTGCTACCTTGTGATGAACATTATATAGGCTGTCAGTGCAACAAATACAATCTCTAAGAACAAAGGACAAATTATTTCAGAGCTGAATTAAAGTTGCTTATTTGCCAAGAAGAGTTGTCCACTGTCATATTCTGTTCAAACCATAAAACAATCAACACAGAAGTGTTGGCAAAATGTCTATTATTTGTCTTTGGATGGTTGGGGTGAGATTTGTTGTTGTTTTTTGTTGTTGTTTTGTTTTGTTTTGTTTTGTGTTTTCAGTAATATAACATGGTACTTACTTAAAGAAAGCAATGAGTAAGTTGACCATGATGATGTACTGCACAAAGAGATAGACAGCTTGGAGGAATGGTGTGAGGAAGGAGCCAGGAGGACAGTCTTCATTGGTTTCACAGACTGGAAGGGAAAGACATACAGCATTAGCAAGAAAGTCAAAGCAGAGCACAGCAAGGACATATGCTGCTCCTTTGCCTTAGCAAAAACCAATTTGTCCTTGGTAACTTCCACAAATGTATGTTGTCAAAAGTCTACCTCCACGTAAGGAAGATAGGAGACCTCTTCATGATCCTACTCCCTCATAGCTTATGGTGTAATTTAGAAGTTCTAGGCACCATTTCATAAATATCAGTTATTATACCAGATATCACAACATTTTGATAAGGGGAAAGATAGTGTAACTGCAATATATTCGAGAGATGGTAAACACGTAAACTGAAAGTGATCCTTAAAGCAACTAATCTTTAAAGCAAGTCACAAAGCTTTCAGTGACTATGTGGAAAAAATACAGCTGCAAGACTGTTTTATCATTACTGAAGTATTAATCCTTTATAGCCTTAGTAAAACCAAATTAATTCATGTGCAAATGTACATGTGGCAATGGATATTTTTGATGTATTACAGAAACTAAGAGATCCCTCCTGATTTTTTTTTTCCAACTGTCAAAATAAAAGTTTTCCAATGTTTAGAATTTTTTAATCAAAGTGACCTCTGACAAAGTTAAAAACACGTTTATAACACACCAGCCCTAAATTCAGGAGATACTTTACAGCATACAGGTTCATTAGAGAAATCATCTCTGAAGTTTCAAACTTCAAAAAGCGTAGCATTACTAAGTGATTAAATGAAATAAATAGTGAAAATTAGTGCAGCACTTTTATTAAAAGTATTTTGATTTATACAACCAAGACACATATCTGTCATGTGACAATTTCAGCAATGATAACAGATGTTACTTCTTTAATTATTTAAAAGAAATAGGCCTAAGCTGAACTATATATCTTAAATACCTATTTCTATATGCATACTTTCTTTTTTATTTCAAAGACTTAGTAGTAGCATCAGAGTGCTTTCTATCTATTATAATGAAAAATTACTGGAGTGACTGATTCTTCTGCCTTATTGAATCAAGGTCAATGTCATAATCAAGAACGCAACATCTTTCCTATTCATTTAATCTATTTATTTTTATGCTTAACTCGTTGATCTGCTTAAGAAGGATGCCAGGTACCTCACCATGGTGAAAAAAACATTTTCCATTGTTCTCTTTCCTTTTTTCTTTCCCCTTATTCTACCTCCCATTACGGCAACTTTGCTATCTTTTCTCTGAAAGATCACTAGCTTTTAACTGTCCTGTCACAAGCACATATAACTGCCAAATATTCTCATCAAGATTTAGCTTATTATTAGTCCTTAAGTGCTCCGCTCTGAGCCTCGTAATATGCTTCATTTCAAAAGTTAAATTTGAAAGATTTAAAGTTTAATCTTCATTTTATACAAATAAACAAATATTTTCATCTGTAATCATGCAATTGTACAAATTAAGGCTATTTGTATTTTGGACTCAAAAGTTTTTGAAAAAGAAGAAATCCAATGTGAGGTCAAAACTTATCAGTCAAAGTGAACATTTAAACTACCTACCATCTATTTCTGCAGCATAGACCTCACCAAACATCATCCAGTAGGGCTGAAATATAATATCTCGTGCCAGAGACCAAGAAGGAAGTTCTTCTGGTGAAAGGATTGCCTTTCGTGAGACGCCAAAACTCAGCAGAACTATGGCCATCATAATCACAATATAGAACATGTTTGCTGTCTAGGCATTGAAGAATTAACTGTATTAATTATATGTAATTTTTTTACACATATATACATGCAAATACATTTTAAAGAAGATAATCAGTTACTGCTTTTACCAATAGGAATACAAAAACAAGGTCAACAATCTAATACACTAGAGAAAATAAAAACATTTTCTAGAGGTTAAAATCTTTCTGGACTAAAAAGACCTACTTCTGCTCAAATCTTTAAGATCTTAAGTAAGATCTGAAAATTGCAGAGGCCTTGTGATGGTGCTTGTCATCCATGGTATCTTTTTCCAAATTGAAAGTAAGGAGCAGCAGTTAAAATGATTTTCCCTTCTAACACTGAATCAGAATTACTATGCAAGACAGAATATAAAAGTATTAATAAGATAGCTCCCAAGATCCGAGGGAAATTACAGTGGGAATCTGCATATGTCCCTCAAGACTAGTCAACAGTTCAGCAGCAGTTCAGATACCAAAAGAGAAAAAAAAAATTAACTTTGATCTCAGAGAAATTTTGCCAACTAAAAATGGAGTATAATTATTTGAATCAAAATGTAAAATATAATGAGGCAGTTTCCAAGAGCCAGGGGAATTATCTATAGTAATGAGCCTATCTGCAAGACATGGTGATTTTTCTTCCTCCTACTATCAGGCTGGATCAGAAACTCAACTCAAATACAACCCTTCTCTAAGGAACTAAGTGAAAAAGGCTTCTGTGAATAAATTGAAATCTGACTGTCAAGTCACAAACAGAAAAAATCATGGTAGTTTCAGGTAATGCATTCACTGTGAGTTATTAGGTAACATCTCCTTTGACCATTGCTCTTTTCTGTCACTGCTGACCTTCACAGATATCTCAGTAGATGTCATGAGTGCAATAAAATTGTTCCACAGTATAATACTTACCATTTTCCCAATCATTGTCAGATATGGGCCAGCATGCTGATTCACAGCAAAAAGATCAAGGAGCCGGGCATACCAAAATATTATATCCAAGCAGTAAAGTAGCCGCCCTACTGTTTGAACAGGGGACTCAGACCAGCGCAAGCCAAAACCAATCATAAACAGGATGATAGCTAACGAATCAGTAAAATTCCAGTATTCATAAATCCACACCTTCACTTTCTGGCGGAATTTTCCAGGTTCTGAGATAAACACCTGAATAGAATGTGGTAGAACGTGTAGAAAAGAAATCCATGAAAATCACATTCTTTAACTTTCTCTGTCTGAACTGTTTTATGATGTTTGAAAATCTATCTTTTTTTTCCCCTTTTTTCTCTATTTTTTTGCAGACCCACAAACAACATACTGCAATTCAATCTTCACTGAGGTTTAGATTTAATCTGTAGTATCATATAACTCAAATATGACAAGACAAATAAGATAGATATTCTTGGAATAGCAAGTTCTAAGCCTGTACCCAGACACTGAAGAGTGTGTTCCTCAGTAGAAAACAGCAAGGAGTAGAGAATGGTTATGCATATTTATCGTTATAAATTAATTAGTATTTTCTTGAGGAATGGTTATGACCTGCAAAAGACCTTTCCAAAGCCCATAATCATGGAAAAATATCAACCTAACCTCAATGGAAAAAAAATTAAGTCCTCTTTTTTCAGACCAAAAATGCAAAGCAAAACCCTTGCATTTTACACCAAGGACAGATTAAAAAAAAGAGTGCTGGCAACTAGCAAGGTAAAGAATGAAATGTTTGCTCCTTGAACTGTGAGGTGCCCCAAAGGGATTTTAGGCTTCACTGAGCAAATGTGTGAAGTGGAATCTTTGGGAGGCTGTAAATAAAATCTTTGCACAATGCATGAATGAGACCAGTAATGTAGTGCTACGTAAGGTCATACTGATAAGTACCAAGTGAAAGAAAGATTTTTAAACATTATGCCCTTATCCTGCAATAATTTATACATTTGAACATTCACGTAAGCAAGTGATCCTACTCAATTCAGCTGGAGAAATTCTCATGAGAAACTAGTTGAAGAATCAGGATTTAAGGCTTTAACCATTATTTGATACAAACTAGAGAAATAAAGGCTTGTAGTTACATCTAATCAGACCCTCAGCAGTTAATCTGATGGATGTTAGACACATCATCCTATACAGTCTTTGATAGTTGGCCAGAACTAGTACACAGACAAAGGAAATCAGGAAAAAATGAATTCCAAAGTCTTCAATGAATGTTAATTCAAGAAAGAAGACCTGGTGCTTCCACTTCCGCCTATCAGCACAGTGCAACAACACAACAGTGATCTTCAAAGTTCTTGACTTTGGTATTCATATTCTCTTTTTCATAGATTTCATATTCTCTTTTTTTTTTTTTTTTCCCCATTTATTCAATATTCTCTTTTTTTTTTTTCCACTTATACAATCCTTGTACAGTTTTTTTCAATTTTTTCTCATGCAGCCATAAAAATTCTATGTTATTCCCATACTAAAATATGCTCATATACTACTTAAATATTCTCATATACTCTGAGAAGCTTGTTTCAGTGCTCTGTCATCCAGAAATTAAAGAAGTTCTTTCTCATCTTCAGATGAAGCTTCCTGTGTTCCAATCTCCTGCTGGAGAGGAGCTCTGCGGAAAGGGACCTGGATGTCCTGGTGGACAACAGGTTGGCCATGAGGCAGCAGTGTGCCCTCGTGGCCAAAAAGGCCAGTGGCATTCCGGGGTGCATTAAAAAGAGCATGGCCAGCAGGTCGAGGGAGGTGATCCTCCCCCTCTACTCTGCCCTGGTGAGGCCTCATCTGGAGTACTGCGTCCAGTTCTGGACTCCCCAGTACAAAAAAGACAGGGATCTCTTGGAAAGAGTCCAGCGGAGGGCCACGAAGATGGTGAAGGGCCTGGAGCATCTCTCCTATGAAGAAAGGCTGAGTGAACTGGGTCTGTTCAGCCTTGAGAAAAGGAGACTGAGAGGGGACCTGATCCAGGTCTATACATATCTAAGGTGTGGGGGGCAGAATGGCGAGGCCAGACTGTTTTCAGTGGTGAATGGAGACAGGACAAGGGGAAACGGCTGGAAACTGCAGCATAGGAAGTTCCGCACAAATGTGTGCAAGAACTTTACAGTGAGGTGACGGAGCACTGGAACAGGCTGCCCAGGAAGGTTCTGGAGTCTCCTTCTCTGGAGATGTTCAAGACCTGCCTGGATGCCTACTTGTGTGACGTGGTGTAGGGAACCTGCTTTGGCAGGGGGGTTGGACTCAATGATCTCTGGAGGTTCCTTCCAACCCCTACAGTTCTGTGATTCTGTGATTCTGTGATTCTGTGCTCATCGCCTCTGTTGCTGGGCACCATCAGAAAGAGCATGGCCCCATCCTCTTGATAAGATTCCCTCTCAGTCCCTTCTTCAAGCTAAACAGTCCCACATCCCTTATCCTTTCCTCATATGCTCCAGGCCTCTAAAAATCTTTACACTGCTCCACTGGACTCTCTCCAGTAGTTCCCTGTCTTTCCTCAACTAGGGAGCTTGGGCACAGTACTCCAGACGTGGCCTCAACACAGCAGAGCATAAGAGATGGATAGCCTCCCTCAATAAGCTGCCACACTTTTCATAATGCACCCAGGATACCACTGGTCTTCTTGGCCACAAGGGACACTGCTGACTCCTGGACAACCTGTTTTCCATCAGGACACTTAGGTCCTTCTCCACAGAGCTCCTTTCCAGCATATCAGCCCCCAACCTATACTGATGCATGCAAACCAGTTTGACTTGGTAGAAAGCCTTAGGTTACTCTAAATATTACATTGATAACACATTCAAAGTGATATCTTCAGACAAACTTCATATTCATTATAGGAAATCTAACAGCTTAGTTCTCTACACTGGGGCTCAAAATCCCAATTTTGCACAATTATTTTCAAAAAAGCTGTACAATAACAGTGGCTTACCCAGAAAAAAAAAGAGATTTAAGGACAACCTTTAAGATTTATTTTATAAGCCCAAGTAAAGATCTTCATATTTTAAAAAATCACAGAAATAAAATTGCCCTATGCAATTCTTTCTTCCACTAAATTCCCTCCAATGGAAAATTCAAGGTTTGGCATTCTCTAGTCAGTTGTATTTTGTTGTTTATAATATATCTTTATTGTAAGGGAAGTGTGAAAGGAAAAGCTTACCTCTCTGATTTTTTCAATGGCAGTGCTGAAAACATAAATAATAACAAGCCACTCCTGCACACTTGGTCTTGGTTCCATCTTCACCAACACAGTGTAAGTAAAGAGCACGAGAAAGGCCATGTATGCCATCTAAAAAACAGATGGTATATTATTCAGATGCATGAAAAAATTTCTGCAGACATAATAACAAATGATTACCCTGAGTATAACCAAATATACTTTGAATATAATATATTCAAACAAGTGGAGAACTTCAAAATTTTTGAGTCCAGCTCTTTAAAGCATTTTCTGGGGAAACCTAAAAATCAGCAAACTTGTGCTTTGGTGCTCAAAAGATGGAAACAGAAAATGAACTACTGCAGTGCATATTCAGTTAGGCCCCAATCACAAAATATGAAATAGACTATTATCCTTTTTTCTAACTATCTCTTATCTTTCTGTATAGATATTATTATCTGCACACTGTTAATTGAATATAAAGGCAGTACATTTATCCTGACCAAGTAGCCATTCTCAAAGTCAGTGTGAATCACAAATGGTTTGTAAGTGCCTTCTAAAATATAAAAAGAACAAAATCAATGGCAAACATACTTTAAAGGTATCAAAACATGCAATAAATATATCTGAGGTTAAAAACATATAAAGTAGTTGACTCTTATAGGATTTTTTTCCTTGTTTTTTTTTTTTTTTTTTTTTTTTGATGGGTGTGCTGTTTCTCTGCTTTTTTCAATAGCAGCTACGTGATTTTAGCTGAAAAGATTTTCATGCAATTGATTGCAAGAGAAATATTCACATCTTTTCCCACTCCTCCCCACCAGTTAGTCCATGCTGGGCAAAGAACAAGAACAAATGGTATCAAGTAGTACTTTAGAAATCAAGGACAATTTTGGAAATCTAAGTTTTTGTGCAACAACAAACCGTGTGAAACCAGAATTTGACAATCGGTGCATTGTAGAACTCATAGATTTTTCTAGTGCCAGTCAGGTTTCCTTGTGCGTCGTCTACTTGACTTTCATCAGACGTCTGAGCTACCTTCTCCACATCACAATCTTTCTTTAAAAGGAAAGAGCATTTTAAAAGTAAGAAACCATAGCCTATGACAGCAAAGGTTGTGCTATGTTAGCAGAACACACAAATGTTTATGCTTTGTTCAGAATCTGTAAAAAAATTACTCTAGCTTGATTTTATCTTGTTACAACCATTTCATTACTGTCACAGCTTTTCTACTATAAATACCTCTTAGTATTTGCTCTTATGATTAACAGGTAGAGATCAGCAGACCTAAACTTGGTCCTGTTTCTGACACGTTTCTCGTTTCAGCAAGACCTTTAAAATACAGACAAGTAGCAACTTCTATTTGACTTAAGTGTGTTGTCTAGAAATCCACTCACATCTGTGTGCCATTACGAAGCAAAGAAATAAGTAGCCTATTTCGGTCCATTGTACACAATCTAAATATATTTGCACATAAAATGTCAGGACAATGAAGTAATAAATACGAAATCCAGTTGCTATTTTTGATGTATTATATGCCTCATTAGAAGATGAAGACAAAACAAATATTCTGTCCCAAAATCTGCTTAGAAAAAAAATATATAATTTCTTCCTCAGCAAAATTAAAATAAAGGAAAAAACAAATCATTCTACGTTCACAGTTTGACACATGTACAAGAACCCTTCTCATGACACAAGAATTTGAGTTGCTGCAGACCCACAGCAGCAGACAGCTGGGAAAAAAAAAACAAAACAAAACAAAAAAAAACAACCAACCAACCAAACAAACAAAAAAACCCCAATAATAACAGAAGAATTTGAAAGGAGTTTCAAGAGATGAAATGGAGCACCCTTATGAAACTATAGAGAGATAATAGCTGGTCAGGATGGGAGAAACCAAACTACTTCATTGAACTTTGTTTTAGTGTTAGTAAACTGTCTTGGCTAATACTGATGCTAAGACTTAATGTTAGTACACATCTGCAGCATAGCATTTTCAGGACCTAGAGATCTATGTCCATTACACAACTCCTCCTTGAATTATGGGCAGAAAACTAAATATTTTTCCATCATCTTTGATTCAGAAAAGTAATAAAACAGAGAAATTGATATACTGAATCATCCTGACATACTCTCACCAGAACCTCTCTAAGCTAAAAGAGAACTTGTCCCATGAAAGACTTCAATATCCAAGAAAGTGGAATTTATAACTACATGTAAAAAATGTTCTATGTGTCACATGTACACTGATGAAATGATCTATACTTTTTTCTACTATATTTCATATTAGAGTATTTAAGAAAACTAGGCCAGACTTTTGTTTTAAACAACTGTCTGTATTAGAAGTTAAACCTATTGCTGGTTTAGAAGGGAAGCAGCCTTTGTGGGACCTGTGAAAAAAGTGCTGCACTGCCTTCCACCAGACTGCAGGGGGTCCTGTAATTAAAACTCACCTTTTGTGTGTATCATAGCTGCTACCTAACCCCATAGAAAGCTCTTTCTGAGCTGACTATATTAGACAGGCACTGCAGGGAGTAAGAGATTTGAGCAGTTTTCCACATCAGAAATAAAAAACACAGGTGTGGCATTAACAGATCTGCAATTCTGCAGCAAAAGCCCTAGACAGTAATCCACTCTTATTTTATGCAAATTGAAAGTGAACTGAGAAGGTCCAAGGCAACCCATACCTTGTCTTCTGTAGGAAGAGCAAGACTGCCTGACACATTTCACTTGACAATCATGTTTTCACTAGTCAATGCTTTATCAACATTGATGTGAAGGAAGTTCTCTGTGTTTGATATCTGCCTCACACTGAAAAATTCTAGATGATTTTAATTCAAGGAATTGTGAAAAATGAGGAAAAAGGACAAACAACACTGCTTAGCGGAAGCCTGGAGGAATTCAGATCTTAATGGGAAAAATCTTCACCTATGCTAGAGACTCTCTACATTCAAATCCAAGGACTTTAGTGCAAATATAAGACCCCATAGAGTGTTTCAGTACTAAGTTTATGTGACCAAACCAAAAGCACATTATGCTTTAAATAATATGAAGACTTAATTAAACTCAAGAGACTGAGAATTAGAGATACCTTTGAATAAAGAGAGTAGAGAGTTTATACCCTAAAATAATAGCAAAATTGACTGACAATTATAACTTCTGTATTCCTGTGAGTTCAGGAATTATTTTCTCAATATGAGCAGTGCAGGACAGATTAAGTGACTTGCCAAAGGTCCATTCAGGTTCTGCCCAAACCAGGACTCAAAGCCCTACTTGAGAATCTGGTGCCATTGTTTCCATCTGAACGTTCCTCCCTCATTCAACAAACAGACACAAATGACTGCTTCTCACAGACTAACCAGAGACAGGACATCTTTAGTGCTGGCTGGGCTCTGATCACCATGGTAGCATGTGAACTGATGGAAGTCTTGAGACTGAGGCACGTGAGACATTTCAGCCTTGCTTTTAAACTCCAGCATCAAGATAGTGGGAGGCAGGAGAATACTTATAATGACCTAAAAGAGGAATATGAGATTCAGGAAATTAATTCAGTAGTGAAAGCATAGTCCTGAGGCCAAAGATTTCCATGCACAGAGATAGCAAAAAAGCAGAGCTACTCCATGGCCTGGGAAGGAGTCACTACAGCAGGAACTGCCACATCACACTCCTACTGTCTGTGAAGAACTACCCACTGCTCTAGATTCTCAGAGAACCAGCAATGCAGTGCAGTGAGAGCAGGTGGGAAGGGATTAGAGGATGCTGAGGAGATGGGAACAGAGTCAACTCAGAATATGCATTCACCTTCTACTCCCCAACTTGCTTTTGCAAAGAAGTAAAACCAAAGCAAACACTGTCCTCCCTTCCCCTGTCTTTCTTTTCTTTCACAGATGTGCACAGTCCAATCCATGCTCAAGCATATCTACATTGGACTAGTTCATAACCATGCAGACACGTATAAAGCATTTGAACAGCGTCTAAGTGCTCAGAAAGTTAGAGTGATGTTACCTTAAACCAGGAGTTCTTCCGCATCTTCAGACGTCCCATCCACATATCAGTCAGCAGCATCTGTGTACAAGTATGAGACACAAAAGGCCGAAGGCCCACAGACACTGCCAGTTTTAAGCATGTTGAGTTGCTCCAGTTTTTCAGCTCATAGGTCAGCAACTTCATGGCCATTTGTTCATTTTGTTTGAATGCTTTCTCCAATATATCTAAAGCGAGCTGCCCAAATTCCCTAGAACAGAAAAGAATTATCAGTCACAATAACAGGGACCTGTCAAAACTCAGAATTACTACTGCAAAGAGTTCCATTAACTGAAGTTCAGTGAAAAATCACAGTATGTCTTCTCCCACTGCTCACATTGCTTTATCAATATATAGAGTAAAAAATAATTTGGGGGGTAAATGTAATTATTTAGTTCTAATCATAGACTTTTGCGACATCTTGTTTTCTAATTTTTTTATTTGTTTTGTTCCTAACCTCATTCAGTGATCAAAATGGATCCTATAAAATGCTGTGCATTTCCTTCAGCAACTCATCACTGTGAGGAAGCAAAGCAGATAGTTGTAAAAACCTCTTCTATTACAATAGTTCCTATAACATTTTTTGTTGAAGAGACTCCGCCAGAAGATATACCTTCCTTTAAATTAAACTTTGGACTTATACACGTAACAAGCCAGCACAATTTACTGTACTCTGAATTGGAGGAATTATAGTTACAAAGCCATAGGAAACCCTGAAATGATATAACAAACTTGAAGAAAATTCTTGGACTTCATTTTTCATTTACTCAGATATTTCAGGAAAATACTTCCTTTTATGTGTTACACAAAGCAGGACTTAAGGACTGGTTTTACTTTGCTTATTACCAATTGTTAGCGCTGGTTTGAAAAGTTTAATACAGTTGTACCATAATGGCTTTTTCACAAATAAAGCTGATAAGGAAAGCCACAAAGGAAATTTCAACTTTCCACTTAACCATTTAGCAGTGAGATATGTATTTCTCACCTATATTTTCATTTTCAACTGTGCAACTAGATTACATGCTAGTAGATTTCCCTTAACACTTGATTAGACTGTGCACTAATACAGAGCTCCACTGTACGTTATAAACAATGCACAGCTGAAGGTATTTTACACTCTACAGTCTGCAGAATCACTAATCTTAAGCACTCCTTGTGGATTAAGAAAAAGGGAGAACTCATACTTTGAGTACTTCTTAAGTTCTTCTGAAGTGTCATCCATCATGTTGCTCTGTTTAGCTTCATGTGCCATTGCCCTGTAGAGTTTACAAGCCACAACCGCTTTGACCATGGCTTCCTCTCCGTGCTGCCAGAAGAACATTGCCATCTTCTGTCTTCTCATTAAAACTGCCCAAACCAGGAGGTCATTATAGGGGTAGATAAAACCAGATGACTCATAGTTTTCTGCAAATTTTATATTCTCTTTTAATTTCTTCTTAGACTTATGGAAAGCAGTTGATTTTTCCTATAAATTTGTTTAAAAAAAAATAATAATAAATCTCTGTGAATGGTTGAGGCTCATGTAAAGAAAACTGCAAGCAAACCCAAATTGCAAATAGCCAAGTGTTTGGTTTTCACATGTATCTAAGTCATAAACCATAGCTAATATTATAGTCAGATTACTAGTGCTAAGAAGGGATAACATCTGCAGAGGAAAAACACTCCTTCCATTTACTGCCATCCCTTGTCTCCAGTCCCTGAAACACCAAGATACTACTTTTATGTACTTGAGTCACGACAAGAGAAAAAGCAAGAGGAAAATCAAATGTAGCCAAAGGACTTAAAATAGTTAAAGTTACTTTTTACTGTCTGCCACACATATATTGTAGAGTTTCTACACATTCCTATCTGGGTATTCTCTGCTAAAGGCAAAGAAAGTCTTGCTAAAGTGAGTTCATCCTGGCTCAGTTCTAATAAAGCCAATTGAACTCATGTAACTTTATGGTTACATACCAGATACGTAATACCTATGTGGTGACCTTTGCTCTTTTAACATTCTTTCCTTGATAGAAAATATTGTTGCCATTTTCGAGATATCAGAACTGTATCTCTTAGTGCAGTTACTTTTATAAGCAATCCTGAGAAAAAACAGGGAAAATCAGAAAATTCCTACTGCTATTCCCAAATATGAAGACTTCCAGCCACAACTGAATGCCACAGATTTTATTTACTTCAGTGAATAAAAGCCTTTATCCAGAAGTGGATTAAGGTCACAAAGTATCATGGGAGGAGTACGTTACTTTATAAAAAATAGGCAATAAAAACTTATAACAAAGTAACAGCCTGCAAGTATATGTCTTCAGCAAATCTTTCAGAAAACTGATCAGTAGACTAATCAGTTCTAAGAACAGTTCAGAACAATTACATTACCTTGCATTTGTAAGGTTGTGCTGTTCTGAAGAACTGAGAATGCAAGGTATTTTCAGGAGATCCCATTCTGCTACCCATCTGATTGCTCTGATGAAGGGAATGAGACAGGTTCTGCGAAAAGCTGGAGAGCACTCTCTAGATGAAAATGCAGACAACAAAACACACACGCAAAAAATCAAATTAGGGATGAAATTTATTCATTATTTATTAGTAATAAATTATAATTAGTAACCAGTATTTAATGCTGGTTTTGATGGTGCCTCTGAGTTATTCAGAGACTACTTGAGTCAGCCACCATTGTAACTACAGTAGGAGCACATACTGTCAAGATAAAAATGGCCTGTTTGACATTTAATTTTGAAATTTAAATCATACATATATCTCTAATTCTCTGAAAGATGACATACATATTTCCCCAATAACACACAGTCATCTACACAGAGCTTTTGCTACAATTGAATCGCCCAAACTGGATACTTTTCCAAATGCCTATCTTTATGAAAGGTTCCACAAGTTCTTTAAAAGACAAAAATTTCCCTGAACTTTTTGCTGACCATTTTATGCAAATGATAGCATATCTAACATTTTGTCTAGATATCAGGTGCGTTTGCCTGGTCCATTTCCAATCTCTCCTCAGCTGACAAGTTTATAGACCTGTCAAGCATAGAATATACTTAACTTATGGTCTTCAAACAAACCACAATGACATCCTGAGCTGTTTTCAGGTGTCACGCTATGACTTTTCTTGGCTCCCCATGATAAGCATTTCACAGAATTTACCTTGTGCTTTCTGCAGAGATTATTGTACAGAACTCGGAAGTGTTTCCTTGTGTAGCTGCTTCGATAAGCTTCCCCAAGGAGATACTCTATCACCAACCCAACATCAATCAAGGATATCCTATTATCTGAGGGAAGTGTGCCCTGAAACACCAAATGTCACAAGAATTTCATGATGTTATTATATGCAACATTCAACACCTGTTACTATGAGGGAATTCTGGTAGAAGGTGCAACTGACAGCTCTGGCATCTGTCAGAAAGAGTACCCATTCTCTGAATTTCTCTGAGAAGGAGAAAATAAGGCACACTGATATTTTTAGCCTAAAAGTGTGACATCTGCTGTACACTGCACACATGTCACATAGGGACATACACAAGACCAGCTGTATTCAATGGTGAGAGTAATTTACTTCAGAATACTCACTGATACTTACCAGACAGACTGATAAAAATATTTTTTCTGATAACAAGAGACAACTGGCATTGTACAATTTGCTCATTAAACCAATTCATTAAAAACAAAGTAGTAGATGATGAATATATTTAATATTGTAGAGTAATTCCAGGAGACCAGAGTCTCTTGTAGAGGCTCAAGACTACCATGACAACTAAAACAAAAGCTTCACTTCCACATTCATTATATGTATCTTCCAAATCTGTCACCACTTGTGTTTAAAACACCACTGATTGCCTGCTTACATTAAATGCACTTCCAAGACACAAGCTTTGTGACAAATTATTTGAAAAACAGGTTATCTGTCATATGGATGACAAAGATTATCAGCAAAACCTTAAACCATAACTCTTGGATATGAAAAATGGACCATCCTGTACAGCATCAGAGGTTTTATATATTCCCAGCAGTCTACACCTCTCTGACTGTGAAAAGCCATTTTCTTCATTAGGCTGAGCTTTTTTCAGGAGACTTCACTGGCAACCCTCAGGATAACCAGTTAATGCTATCCATTCCTGAGAACAAGGGGCACCAACAAACACACTGAGTATTCTGGGGCATATCTCACAGGATAGGGCTTGGCTTGCTCTTAATGCTCTGGCATTAAGGGATAGACCAGTATTTATGATTATCTGTATCCGTAGGTACTGCTTTGCATGAAAAAAAAACATATATATTATGCTTGTAGGGCAAGCTACAGTGTATTTCTGCTCAAACACCAGCAACCAAGCTGGTCACATTAATGGAGAAAGTATTCTTAGTGTGGAAAGGTAGAATATATTTTCAAGATTGTGACTCTCTCTCTTCACCACATAAATTAGACCTCAAATATTTCCATCAGCATGGGAAAGGACAGCTTGCCATAAAAAGCAGAACATGCTGCACAGCAGCATTAACACGAAGGTTATCTACAAAAATAAACTTATCTCAGAAATCCGAGATAAGATGAGATAAGAGATGAGAGATAAGATCCGAGATACATGAAATCAGAGAATTCTGCAAGCAGTCATCTTTGGTTTTTTTTGTTGTTGTTTGTTTTTGTTTGCTTGTTTTTTCTTTCTTATCTTAGTATTCATGCCTTAGAAAGAATTAGCCAATTAACACAGTTTTGTATCTAGGCATTTCCTGTAGTGGAGACTAGATGCAAAAAGAACTGCTCATCTTTTCCCGACTAAGCAAAGCTGTCAGGTACAATAGATAATGGTAATAAAAAATAAATTAAATGTAGCTAAATAATAAGGCTTCCACTGAACTAATTCAGACAGAGCTCTGTGCAGTAGTCATCCACTGCCACCTTCTGTTCTTCAGGACTCTGCAGCACATTAATATATACGTTGTCACAACGTCTTTCTGTTACTGCTTAACAAGGAAAATCTTTCTTTAGCTTTAGGGGGAAAAAACTTGAACAGCAGTAAGTATAATTATTGCACTAATTTACTAAATCTTTTGTGCAACCACTTCATAATGTCATTTCAGTAATTCAAGAAATAGACAGTCTGATCTATATGAACTGCCGAGCTTTGAAATTAAGGTACTGGACTCTGGGGAAAATGTAGTAGAAGGTTAGTTAATTGCTTGGGGGTATTAGTGGGATGAGGATAAAACTATTTAGTAGATAAAGGGTTTTAGTAATGAATCCATCGTTTCTACTATTTTGTATTCCCCAGTATTGTCTAATAGCAGGGTACCACTGGACACTGAAACTTTTAAGTTACTATTTTAGCTCCTCAGCTTTTGCTATATCCATTACCTGTTTCACATCTCGAATAAGGTGCTGCAAAAGTAAATTGGATGGTCCTTGTTTCTGTTATGTGAAAAGAAAAAAAAAAGTAAACCAGCATGTCTCTCTACATTTGAAAATCAAAGAAGCTTGAAGATCTTCAGAATACACCACTGTGATTCATTTTCTTCCACAAACCTATTCAAAATAATTGATCATCAATCTGCAGCACTTCCACAATCTTCAATCTTGACATATGCTAAAAAGAAGCAAGTATAACTTTGGTTAAACAGCATACCATTTCCAGCAAGATAATCATACATCAAATACCAGACTAAAATTAGAGTATACTTTTCATAAGCTTCAAGTGAATATTCAGTCTGGTTTAAGTCAATGAACTGAAAAATAAAAAGATGGGACACATTCTTCATTTAAAAAAAAAAAAAAATCATTGAAAAACATTAATTTCCAATTTTTTTCCAAAGCCTTTTGTAAAAAATGTGGGCTAATCTCTTAAGCAGAACAGTAATCTTTCTACATATTTTTATCCAAAGTCATCTGTGTGCCTTCTGTAAGGCACTACAATACTCACTGTATTGTAGAGCTCATCCAGACGAGATATGGTAAGAAAACGGTGCATGTTCACTCCATGCTCTATTAACAGCTTTACAAAATCCACACGGTCCATCACTAAAGCATCCAGCATTGCTTGTTCCAATGCACCAACCTTGAGAAGGAGAGAGACAGAGGGAAACCCTGGAAAACCATCTTATTTTGGAGACGAAAAAAAAAATCCTGAACTGCTGAGAAACTCTTTATCACAATGATTCATCTTTATGTGTACTTCCAGCACACAATATGAAAGAAAAATATGCTGGAGGAAGCATCCTCACAAAAAAATCCAGTAGTGAGGGGGAGTACAACAGAGTCTCATAAACCCACTGTCTAAAAGGACTTTTACGTAAGATTATATAACCAAACTTGGATAAAACACATGAACACGAAGATGATCAGGGGGCTGGAGCCCCTCCCATATGAAGACAGGCTGAGGGAGCTGGGCTTGTTCAGCCTGGAAAAAAAAAAAAAAAAAGGCTGCGGGGTGACCTCGTTGCAGCCTTTCAATACCTAAAGGGAGCCTGCAAACAGGAGGAGAACCAACTTTTTGAAAGGGTCGATAACTGCAGCACAAGGGGAAATGGTTTTAAGTTGAGGGAGGGGAGATTTAGGTTGGATGTCAGTGGGAAGTTCTTTACAGAAGAGTGGTGAGGTGCTGCAACAGGCTGCCCAGAGAGGTTGTGGATGCCCCGTCCATCCCTGGAAGTGTTCAAGGCCAGACTGGATGGGGCCCTGGGCAGCCTGGTCTATTATTAAATGGGGAGGTTGGTGGCCTTGCCTGTGACAGAGGGGTTGGAGATTCATGACTCTTGAGATCCTTTCCAACCCTGGCCATTCTGTGATTCTGTGATTCTGTAATACTATACAGTAGGATTATACTCTCCTACTCTAATTCACTTTAGAAGCTAATGTATGATAATGCTTCAGGCAGAAAGAGAGCCACTTCAAGGTACTGTATTTCAAGATCTCTCTGTAGAATTTTAAGTCCTCTAAAGCAGATTTCACATATGAGAGAGAATCTGGACTAGGATAAGGTCTCTAAAAGATGCTGCAGAACAGAGCTGCACCTACAACACTGTTCAAATTTTGAAACACTATAGTCACATTACCTGCACACAGCTTAATGGGATTTCTACATGCAAAATAGCAAAAGAGCTGGATATATGAGGAACACATAAGAAGATATCTGCAGAACTTAGATACACAGAAAATGCAGTGCAGTGAGCAGAATGAGAATGATGGCACCCAAACAGGACAGGTGCAAAGTTGGAATGCAAACGTACTCTCTTCTGTGCATGTACTCAGTTTCATGAGTGTGATTGTATAAGATAACCAGCAAATGTTATAAAAGTGAAAAGAAATAACTTCATAGAATCATATCATAGAATCACAGAATGGCCTGGGTTGAAAAGGACCACAAAGATCATCTAGTTTCAACCCCCTGCTCTGTGCAGGGTCACCAACCACCAGACCAGGCTGCCCAGAGCCTCCAGGAATGGGGCATCCACAACCTCCTTGGGCAACCTCAGTGTGTCACCACTCTCTGTGTGAAAAACTTCCTCCTAACATCTAACCTAAACCTCCCTGCCACAGTTTAAGACCATTCCCCCTTGTCCTATCACTATCTAGCCTTGTGCAGTGTTCCTGAATTACTCGTACTTCTTTCAGAAATATCTCAAAGTCTATTCTTGTATAAATTTCCTGGAGCAGTTACTCCTTGCACTGAAAGTTTGACTGCTGAGGTTTACAGCAATCCAGTAACTCCTAGAATGATACTTTTTGTTGTAAAGTCTATTCCTGACTGAGATTACCTTTAAGCAGAAACGTAGTTACAGCTGGTCATAATAAAGTAAGAAGGTACTTCTCAACTTTTAAGACCAGAGTGCTAAAAAGAAACGTCCACAATTTCTGCACAGTCACGCACTTCCTTAAAGCACTTAAATGCACAGAAAAATACTATGTCTGCATGAATAATCACTCGCTTAAACGGATGATTAAAAATGTGTTCAAAAATTTCAACATCCAGCTGCAGTAATTGTGCACAAACTGTATACCCTTACAATTGCACTGGCTGAATGAGCATCTAGGTCAAAAAAAAACAAAAAAGACTTGCATATATATGTTTTGTTTTTTTTACAATTTGTGAAGAAAATACTGTTATTTAAGATTGTTTTCTCCTTGTTGAAAGAAAATTTTCAGGAATATGTTTCTTTGCAATTTCTTGTTGGAGAAGCAATGAGAGGCATGAAGGTTGTTTATTACAAGTTCTTTAAATCTTACTTGAAGAGGAGAATGTATTCATTATTTGAAAATGACTTTTCATTCAAAATGGTGCCAAACGAATGTACTGAAACAGATAGGAACACACAGACAGATCTTTTTTGAAACACATCTGAAGCAGAGGAGAGGAGCAGGGGAGAAAATCCATGATGATCAAGGTGCAAAAGAAACATGAAAAGGCATAAGGTTATTACAGACACAGTAAATTGATTCACTGCCTCATTCCAAACTACACAGTGTAGTGGGAAAGTTCCTACAACAAAGTTTTCTTTAGGGCAAATAAATCTAAGGAACTGTGTCAAATTAATCTGACAGTAGAAAAGATTTTAGAAGTCATGAGTAAAATGGTAGCAAATTGTCAGTACGGTGCTTCCCACTCTCAGGAAGCAGAGACAGCTGAAATTAGCCCTACTAACAGCATAATAGAAGATGGTAGAAAAATATGCTAATTTTTTAAAATAAACAAAAGTTGTCAATCTATGTATGTTAATATTGTCAGAACTTTCTAAGGAGAAATATAATTAAAATATGTTATGAAACAGCAATAATAGAGACATGGGTAAATACGATAGAGTAAAAGAAAGCAAGACATTTATTTCATAAAATGAAATCATAACTACTAGAATTTTTACCTGGATACTGAGAATAAGGCTTTCTGACTATCACAGCATATTATCTCCATAAACTGTGTTAGCAATGACTTTCTTAAAGGAGTTCTAAATGAATTATGTGGTCACAAGGCAGAAGGTCTTCTAATTGACTAACAGCTAACCACGTGGCAGGAAGAACGGACATTGAGAAAATCCCACATATTGAATACTGCTTTGGCAAAAAATACTCGTAATAGCTAAACTGGTTGTGAAAAAGTACAGAAAAATCTCACAAAATTTGGGCCAACAAACCAATCAAAAAAGAAAAAAAAAGAAAAAAAAAGATGAAATTTAATATTGGCAATCGTGAAATACTGTGCACTTGAGTAAAAAAAACCAATAATCCACTTGCACAATATCAGCCTTGAAAGTACCTCAGAAAACACTCGGTGTACAGACACTAGTCAATTTATTTATGCTTAAATTAATGCAGAATCATATAAAAATATTTCTATTTCACCAAATATCTCAACAAAGAACCCCATCTTGAATAGCGGGTACACCACCAGTTAGTTTACTGACAGGCAGGGACTAAGAAACTGTTACTCATTATTCCCCACATCCCAAAGAAGAGATGGCATCAAATGAAATTTTCACACAGCAAACAATCATTGACATCTAACATTCTTAGTTTAAGATCTCAGCCTTCCCTCTCAACTTTTTATATCAGTTATATTAATTTACAGCTCAAAATAGGTTTAACCTGCCACATATATAAATATGAATGAATGATGCAGACCCACAGGCCTTGTTAGAATACATCTTCAGAGATAAAAATGGCAAAAGCTTAATACTTTGGCTACTACAATAGCATAGAATTTAAAACAGGAAGAATAGATGCTGTCTGTTCTTCCTCAATATCTTACACAAATAGTGCAAATAAAGTTTATCAATATCTTGCAGTGAGACTGAAGAACTGCCAGAATAAATGCAAATAAAGAAACATACATGTTATAAAACAGATCTTGAATGAAGATACCAGAAAAAAATCAGTTCCCTTTATAGGGTCAAGCATAATAGCATATTAAAAAACAACAACAACAACAAAAAAAAAAACATTAAGGCAAAAATATGTACACATACTTGTTTATACACAAATCTTTTCCATATCTTCTTTTTTGTATCCCGTAAAAACAAAAGTCTCTGTTGCACAAATACTATTAAGGTTATGTGGTCAATCACTCAAAAGCTATCACATAATTTATCACCATGAATAATGGTACAATTACTCACTGCACAATCATATACAGTGTTTTCCTACAGGGGAAACCAGCTCACTCAGTTCACACAGTGAATAATGCTCACTCAGCAGGCAGCTATTCAACATTTTGATCTAGTCTTATGGTTTCAGACTTGGATCACCCTTTATCATTTGCACACTATTCAAATACCAAAAAATAACTGGGAAAATTCCTTCTTTATTTTTCAGCGAGCACTGAACACCATTCTTACCACTGATTTTTTTCCTCAAGATTATTCTGTGATCACCAACACTTCATGGATAGTAAACTGAGCCCGAAGAGGAAACAAATTTAATTCACAGATGCCCAAACATCTCAAGCATAATAGTCACATATCCAGCTCTGTACACCACAGAGTTGTATAAAAAGGGATATAGAGTGCACTGAAGATGTATAAGAACTAGTGACCAATAAATTCAAGCCTTTTTTTTTTGTTAAGCGATCAACTTGGTCAATTAGCAAAATACATATATTCACTGTCTGTTATACCAAATTTAGTCTGAAAAGTTCTCGGAATAGCAAAATCAATATTGTAATTCTTAGAGGGCAAAACTTACTTAAAATGTAGTTTTGGGAGCTTCAGATGTCATTTCTTTAAGAAAAAATTTACTTTTGAAATCAGTGGGAAGACCCAGCACTCTCAGCATTTCCTAATAGGAGAGATATTTCAGTTTCTTAATCGTATTTGTGGTCCCATGTTGGACTCCTTCTAGTAGGTCCACATCTCTCTTGCACTTGGGGACCCAGAAATGGACACAGTCCAAGTGCAGCCTCAGCAGTGCCTCAGTAGAGTGGTCACCTTTCTGGATCTGCTAGCAGCACTACCCAGCACAGCTAAAAATACTGTTAGGCCTTAGCCTGCTAAATGGCAAGGGCTGCTGACTCATATTCACCTTGGTGTCTGCCAGGTCTTCTTCTGCAAAGCTGAGCCACAATGCCATATTAACAACAGTTTTTTCTACCTGTCAATACCATAAAGTATTCAGTATTGATCCTGGAAGATCCTAATTTCCTAGATCTAGGAAAACAGAGACAATACTCCTTCAGGAGTTAAGTCTTTCAGGAAAAAAATGTACTCTGGATTACAAAGAAATGTCCATGACAATCAGATATTGTCAACACAGGCTTGAAAAATATACATCCAGACGGATCACTGAAGCTATTTTGAAAGGCTAGCAGTGAAAAACATAGGAATTTTAGAAAGAATCTCTTTTCTAGGTAAACACAGCACTTGATTCTTCATGTGATGCCCTCTGCATTTGAACAATTTGAAGTTTTAAGGACAATGACTCTCCAAAATCAGAGATCATAACTCCAGAAGACTGAATCCAAGCACCATACCACTCCTTAGCTAAAGCCTGACAAATGCAAATTATGCCAAATCAGTCACCACAACGAAATGTAAAGACACTGTGAAAAAATAAAATATAAAAGTACCTTCCAGTGTTGTCCATAAACCAGTATATGTTTCTTGGCAATATCTAGCTGGTTCCAAGCCAATGCCAAATTCAGCTGATCTGATGCAGACATATTTGTACCTAGGAAACAAGTGAAAAAACCAGCAGTTTGCACGATCAAACTATTATTCCTTTGCTTTGGAAAGGTAAGCTGACAAGACTGCATGTCAGACAAGAACTGTATTTTCAAATATGTACCTTTCAGGAGTGCAGTTAGAATTGACAAATCAATGTCTTGATGTTCTTCAGACTCCACATCAAGTATAGTTATCTGTTAGAATTGCAGAAGTACACTATTTGAGGTGAGATTATTTCTTCTTGGCTCTGGTAGATTAAATCATACACAACAACATAAACACTGGCAAAGCCTAGACTAATTTTCCTTTGTTTCAGAAAGGAAATGTACCATTTTGCATGTAATGCAATAGCATCCAAGACCAACTGCCATCAACCTACTGCATAATAACATGAGTCTATTTCTTTCCAATTAGCTTTAAAGCTCTGAAATATAAAAATGCAATATGATAAATAACTACTCAGCTTCCAAGTAGAGAACAGACACTTTAACAAATTAAAACAAATAATAACAAAAACAGAATGGATAGTTTCCATTTTAGTAATCTCTGTCATTATTCCTAAAACAAATATTTGGCAGCCCTAAATGAGCTCACAAGTCACTAAACATGCCAGCATATTTTGAAAATCTGTGACAAAATCAAGCACAATACAATTATGAGTAGAAGAATGGATATAAACACTTCCAAATTACAAAGAAAACACTACTAAATGATTTAGAAAGTAAAAATTACTTTATCTTTCTTGTGAAAATAAAGATGCCTAGCCCTCAACTAAAATCAGAAAGGTTGTCATTTCATAAGCAGCCACTGAGATTTCCAAAGTTAACTCTTAAGAAGCATCTGTGGAGCTGCCTAAGATATAAATCAGCACAGACTCTTTTGTGTCACTTTTATTTTAGGGATAACATTATTACGTTTACAACTGTGGTGTCAATCAAACACAAAAAGGGCAAAAAAGATTACAGCAGATGAATATATTGTAAAGTCAGAGCATGAATCCCACTCACAGACTTTCTGTGCTCCATGCATTCCATCAAAATGTGAAATAGATGACTGGACTGTTTCTGTCCCAAACTAAACATGTTTTGAATCATTACTAAAACCTCCTGCTTCACTTGAGGGCGCAGCTCCCTGAAAAAGAGATACACAAGCTAAAATATTGTTGGCTACTTCTCCCCAGTCCAAATAACATCTAAGGAAGAGGAGAAAACTGTGCTGAGCAGAGCTGTCTTACTGCTTCCTTCGTCCAATAAAAGAAGGCAAAGATATCCTATAACATCAATTATTATTTACACAGACATTTGCTCTGATCATACATACTGGAAATAAAAGAAATGAGAAGTTAATTTTCAAGGGACTGTCTGTGCATATAGAGCAAACAATCACTGAAATTTTAGCAATCATCTTCATTCCTTCATATTAATTTATAAATAAATTCAATTCCTCATTATTTGTTTATTAATCTTAATGTATCTTTTTTTTTTCTACACCCATTTTCCCCTTATTTCTCTCTGCTAACATTGCTGTTTATATTCTTCTCTCCTGTTCAAACGACCAGAAGTTCTTTTTAAAGATCAAGAAATATGGAAGGAAAAGAGTGAAAAAACTTCTCATTGCAATGTGTTAGAGAAAAATAGTATGCTCAGAAAAGGATATTAAGATTACAAATAAATTAGTAGTGCATATATACAATGAATAACTGAAGCTTACTAAATTGTCATCTTTTAATTGGAACAAATCCAGTTTTGTTTCTTTTTAATTAACTTTTATGTAAATAGTCCTTTTGACTTTCACACAAAAAATTAATTTGCTACACAAGTTCACAAATTTATTTATTTTCATTTTGCATACAAAATTGGCATCAGAATGGGTTTAATGTAGAGTCCGCAGCTAAGAACTGCACTGGAGGTGACAAAACAATCACAACAAGAATTACAAATACAGATTAACACTGGGTTAATCAAAGCCAAACCCAAGGCACATCATTCTTCTTCCTACCTCAGTCCTCACAGCCTACATTCACTAACCCCACTCTAGCGGTATTAGAAGCATTAGAAATCATCTCTGTGGTTTGGGCATTTTTAGATCACCCCCAGCATGGCAGATCATGCACTACTCACCCTGTATCACCCGTATGTTTGTGGGTGAAAGCCAGAATATCAGCAGCTCTGCCAGTGCCCTCATAGACCACCACAGGGACAGGTGGGCTGGTCCTTACATACTCCCACACCATTGGAATCACATTGGCATCTCCTTCCACCACCAACCCAACTACGGGTACACCTTGGCCCATTCCTGTTTCAAAACACACCTACCAGTTACAACTAGGTCTCAGTTGTGCACACAAAAAAACCACATCATCAGGAGATAAGATCATTGCCGGACAGATTATACATGTTGGAGTCTCATAGTAAGTACGTAGTTCAACAGATAAGAAATCATGTGTCCAGCATCTCTTGTCTGACCTAATTTTTCTATGAATGATTTTCACAGTACACAGTGATGGTGCTTTAAAGGTGACCCATAACCTTTTTGTTACCTGAACAAACAGAAAAGTAGTTTGGTACTTTTTTTTAAGGATTTTCTCAAGTTGTACACCAGAGAGTATTCCTCTTAATAATCTAAAATAAATTTCGAGTAAGGTGCCATAGAAATAAATTTAAAAAAATAATAATTCTGATTTAGAATTTCTCCTAACATGAAAAAATGTCAGAGATTGATTTAGAAGTTCTAAATACAAAACATTAAAAACTGAGTTGTCTCTAAATACAATACTTAAACAGATAAAGAAAACAAAGATTCAATATAACAATTTAGCTAATGTTTTTTTAGCATGCTTAAAGATTTAAATCGTTGTAAGAATGAATTTCCACAAATGACTTATACAATCTAGTCCATAAAAGGAAATACTCATCTGCATAATAATTATTTCCTTGATAATTTCTATACTACAATTCAATTACTGCATAGGCAAACAATGGAATTTACACAACCTGAGAAACAGAAACACTAGATGTAAGTATTCCTTTTGCAATCAGTCTTTGCCTCTGAACATGGGGAGGTCGCAGTGACAGACTTTTAATGAGGTTAAAAGTAACAGATGACTGTGTTCTCTCCACCTGGCAAAACTACCTGGTGCTTACATAGAGACTATGCAAAACTGTGCATGGTGAGCAAACAGTCAGTGGTCATACTGTGGAAAAAGATATGCTAATTCCAATGCATAAAGCTTCATGAGAATACTACTCTTTCCATTTTTCCTGATACTCAGAATTTGAGAAACATGCACTGGGCAACTTTCAACCACAGTGAAATCCATCACAAATGAATTGCAGAATCATTTGCATTGGAGAAGACCTTTAAGATCAGTTTAATATTAACAGTTACACCATTAGACCATGTCCCTAAGCATCACACACAAGAGAAGATGACAGGAAATGTTAAGTACCTCCATGACTTTTTAGACAGGGTTTTCTGTGATAAAGCTCATGGCAGTACTTACTTGTGTGTATTTTTTGATGTGACAAATACTTCTCCAGATTCCTCCTGAGCACCATTTCATTCCCACACTTGCCTACTGTCCCATCATCTGCCATTAGAAAATGAGAATGCATGCTGTTGAGGGTACTTAGTTTGCTGAGGGGATTTCCAAGAGTTTGGTACAGGCAAACTACCTATAAAAAACAAAATAAAACGTTATTCACAGAAACCAGCGAAATATCATGTTGCCTCATCTGTGTGTATTTCTTCATCATATCATAGTCCAAAGCAATCATGCTTTTTGTTGCTCAAGTAACAACTCAAGATCACATAATATGATCTTAACAGCAACAGTGTTTATAGCCAGAAAGCAATTCTGATTAGGCAGACTTGCAGCTCTTATTAAGAGACACCGGCAACCTTTCTCAGCTATAGTCGAAACACAGTGGCACTTTTCTCCTCAATGTATTTCCAATAAAAACATGTACGCTACCATTTATCAGGAATGATTTTGCCTTTCTTGTCAAGTGTCTTCAAACAATTACATAGACTGCATCCTTACACTGGCACTGACCTAAAATTCTAATTTATGAATAAAAATCACACATGTTAATAGCCTTTTTGCATATACAATTAATCTCATTGCTTATTCTACATCACATGAGTATAGAAATACGTAAATTGCATCCACAAGAAAATTACCTAATTAACTGCAATATTTTAAAAAAATAAGAAAAAATGCTTTAAACTATCTATTTAATAAGAAAAACAGAATACACTGTCTCAACATGCCACAGAATTCTGCCCCTGAAAAAATCCTAAACCTCTGCTGCTAAGAAAAAATATCAAACTAGTGAAATGAAGCAAGCACAAAATGAAGTGTGAAAGAAAGCTAAACCATTGATCAAACATGGCTTTTATTATTAAAATGCATCAAACTCACATCTTTCCCAATGAGATCCCTCTGGTTCTCAATGATACCCCATGGGGGGATCCCAACAGCACAGATCTTTCTCAGGTATGGTGAGGCACGTCCTTTCAGTGCATTCCCCACATGTCTGGACACTCCTAAACAGATAATTAACCATAACCATAACTTTTCTTCTGCATTTGAGACTTGCTACAGGACAACAACTGAAGGACTTTCCATCTTGCATGAGAGTTGCCCTGAAAGTAATGCCTCCTATTTTGTTATGTTGGCCTACAATGTAAAAGGCAAATGTTAGTGGTAGGGCAGTAGAGGTTGAACCTTTCCACCAATATTCTGCTTAATTTTGTTGCCACGAAACAGATGGCAGCAGAGGGGCAGTCTTACAAAAAAGCATCTGACACCATTGAATTCCTCCACATAAAGCACTGAATTCCTCCATGCAGAAAAAAAAAAATGGCATCCACTGACATTTGTTGATGCTTACTGAAAGTTTATAGAGATCAACTTGCTTACTGAACGCTTATAGAGAGCAGAGAATGTCAGAACAGAGAGGTGGTGAGTGGTGCATATCAGCAGCACCAACAGCAGCATGAAAGACAAGCCATGTTATGGACAGCCATGCACAGTTTTCATACCACAAAATGAAGAGCATCTTGATCAGCTCATTTACACAAATCAGTGGATTACGACCAGGGAGTGTACAGAGCTCAATATTGGCTTCAATGCATTGAAAATAATGGTGGCAAGAATGGAATATCAAAAAGTTTTGACCAGGTGTTCAAACCTGGAATAGAAAGAACACCGTACACAAGTTTGTCAGGACCAAAACTGGACCAAAACTGTGCTGAAGGCAGTAATTTCCCAGATTGTATCATTACCAGTGATGAGATGTGATGTCACCACTACGAGCCCAAATCAAAACAGCAGTCTGTAGAACGGTGACATGTGAATTCAACAACTCTTGCAACATGATAACATACCAGGCTCAGTACCAGCTTGTAGATTGGGGTATATTGCCAATATTGGCTGGGCTGTCCTACCACATCCCTGTTATAGTGCGGATTAGGCACTTTCTGACTTCCATCTATTTGGGCTGATAAAAGATGGACTCCCCAGGCAACACTTTCCTAGCTATGACATTGTCATAGCAGCTGTGAAACAGTAGGTCACCTCCATTGGTGAAGACTGTGATGAGTGTGGCATGCAAGCTCTTGTTCGTCATGGGCAAAAAGTGCATAGCTAATGGTACTAACTGTGTTGAAGTGTTCTGTAGCTGAGAATTTCCTCTATCAAAGTGTTATTCTACTCTTTGTATCTGTTGCAGTTTCCATGGAAATAAATAGGATGAATTACTTTCAGAGCAACCTACATATTGTATTCTTTGGTTATGTTTTAACCAGAAATAAACCATGCTCCCTGTGTGTATACTTGATATGAACAGCTGTAATTGTAAGGTTCAAACATAATGACCCAATGCTTCAAACTCAAATTTTTAGTTAATAATGCCTGTTTACATGCCAATGGTACTTTCTATCTAATCATAAAAACTTCATTATTTACATACAGGGTGGTTCCCCTGTAAGGCTACTGGGCTGCATAAAAGATAAAGAAGTAAAATTATTTCAGTTCTGTGGCTGACCAAGCACCTCAGTTTTTGAAAGGATGATAGGCTAATAAGTTCACTGTATGGATTATCATAATTCAAAACTCTCCTGGTGAAAAAAATTAAATATAGATTTGAAAATTTCGAAAGTTCTGAAAAGTTTCTCACAGTTATCAGATACTAAATATTTCAATGAAGTATATAAAATTGACTGTAAGTTCTTGTTATCTACTTTCAGTTGGCACTGTGTTTCTTACTACTTGTGGAACACATTGCTATTCAATAATAAATAAATAAATCAGAATGCCTGTCAATAGCAAAGGCATATGTTGTTTGCCTTTGAACAATTCGTTGCTCCTAAAACAAAAATGCTTTACTCTGCAAAAAAAGTACCACAAATTATAAAACTAACAATTTCATTATATTTGCCCCAAACATACATGTTAATGCACACAGAAAGAACACCAGGGGAAGACTGAAACAACAAGAAGAATTACACTACCGCTGTTGATGCCTTCAGTAATGATCCATGCTCCTGTAGTCTCAGCAGCCTTCACCAATCCTTTACTGAAAACCTGCTTGACCTTTGAGGGAAGTTTGAAATTTTCAGTGCCTCCATGAACAGAGATGACTAGCTTTGGCAACTCCATCTGCCATTCATTAATCATCAGGTGCAAGAGTTGATCCAAATTGCTATCATAAGAGAGTCTAATGTACTGAAATAAATAATCACAAATAAAATAAACATCACTAAAATACTCAAAGAGAAGAAACTGAAACATCTTACCAAGTTCTCAGCTCTAGCATCTTAAAGACTTGTGCTGGATTAGAATTTTTATAATACTGTTAAAGTGATTGCACAGAAACACGTAAGTGAGCAAGACAGGCAGCAAGACAAGCAGTTACTCTTAATTGTGGTAAAGTTCAACATGCAGATATTATGCACATACACAAACTTCTGCTACTTTTAGGTTCTTCCTGCTCTCTTAAAACAAACCAGCCTATAGTCACCAGTGTCACTCCTTGCCCTTCTTCCCGGGAAATTATAAAAAGAAAGCAGACAAATAAACCCAGCAATCAGTAGGAATCAATTTACAGACAAACCTTTGCATGGTATGTGTGATCTCCATCTTGAAAATTGATTGTACCAAATGCATCTGTTGGGCTTGTCTTAGTGTGTTTTTGCACAGACCATTCTTCATCTCTCTGTAGAGCAGTCTGACAAACAGGCCAGCTGCAGTCTACTCCTGGGTGATCTCCAATCAGCCTTCCACAGCAACATCTCACATTAAAAATAAAATTAAAAAATCATTTTATATTACAAACACTTGTGCAAAGATCTAGGATCTCCACCAGAGTAGCCCAAATACTCTTCTGCAAAGAAGAATATTGTAGCATTCTGACATTAATTAAAACAAAAGTGAACTCAGCTAAAAAATCTCAGTGATTGTAAAATGACATAGAATTAAATAATAAAAATGTTTTGCTGGATACATCATTTGTTCTCCTCTTGGGGAACACTGATACCAGTTTGACAGTTAATCCACGAGTTAATTCTGACCTGAGCTATGCAGCTCAGATTTACTGGAGTCTCTGGTAAGATATCTTAGAACACTGGAATTCACTATAGCTATTGTAACAGGTTATTCTAGGTGCTGAAGAAAGATGTAGGAGCTACAATCACGAATGTGAATGAGATCAGCAGCTCTCAGTCTAAAAAGACCTCTAGACTAATTCTAGGACACCAGCAAAACAAATATACAAAATAAATACATGCATTGTTAAGGGAAATATAACAGAAGCTCAGTTAGCATTTAAGATTTGCAAGAGGGTGAATAACTCAGACTCCAAATTCAATCAGTATTACTGTCATTTGGACCTCAACAAGCTCCAACCTGTTCTGCAAGATTAAATTTGATATATTTATAGCAATATCTGACATTCTGGTTTTCTTTTAGACATCTTAGATGCTAACATACCGTTAGTGACAGGAAAAAAAAGAGAAGAAAAAAAAATAAATGTAAAAACAGGGAATAGCATAGGAGGCGCATGAACTGCTGAAATAAACTAGTCATCTATAAACCTTATTCCAAAAGCAAAATTCATGGTAATTTTGCCTTCTCATAGACAATCCAGGACAAGACTCATGAACTATACAAAAGTATCCAAGCTGGAGCTCAACAAATAAGTCAAGTCTCCTACAACATGCAATTAAATAGCTACTACAGGAAACTGAGGATTCAACACAAATGGAAGATCACTGCTGATATTGTAAGTGCTGTCAAATAGCATGCAGGCTCAGACTTCACTTGGAGGTGCTATACAGGCATACATTTTTTAAAAGCATTTCAGAGCTACATAGCTGCAAAAGCAGGAAACACAAGGAAAGCAGCTTTGGACAACATTTGCTCATAAAAAAACATGAGGCCAAGGACTACATTTGTTCATGGCTCTCTGCAAGTAACTTAAAGAAAGGACAAGAAAAAGAGGCATTTTCAATTAAATTATTGGTCTTTAGAGGATAAATTTCCTTACAGCTGAGGAATTAGCCTCCTTGCTCCAATTTTTTTCTCCTTTTTTTTCTTTTTTTTTTCTTCTGGGGACTCCAGGGTAACAGCAAAATATCCATAAAAAAATATCCTTTAGAGAAAAGGTGAGCAAGTCTGTGGAAACTCTATTGTTTTTGGTCCTGAAAATATCTTGTAGCCACTGTACTGCTCCTACAGCACTCTCACTGAAATGAATTCTTTTATCCAAGAGTCATTCCGGAATACAGTAAAACTAAAGCAGTCCCATCTAAATAGTACATTAACTTCCTTTATTTACCTAGTAAATTACACACTTGGAATCAGCAAATGCCAGTGCTTGCAAGAACAGCACTGAAAAGCATTCAGACTTATTAGCAGTGGATTACATTTTCTAAAATCTGAATTAATTTCAGTCCACAGAGTTAATCACCATCAAATAAGAAAACAGGATGACTGTCCCACATATTACTGCTCCATAGAGGGAGCAATCATGTCAGTGACCCTTAGAGCAGCAAGAGCCTACTTTTTAAATCAGAAATCCTATGGAAAGCAATCAACTGACATAACAAATAACTGCATTAACCCTGAAAATGACAGGCCCAATGAACATTGACCAATTTTCATCATTAGCAGTATTTTCACTGCATATCTAACATTTAAATGCAAATATGCCCACAGGTGAGATGCACTCAGAACAGTTCAAACACACTGTGCAGACAGCGAAATAAGTGCACGTGGACCTAACACAAGCACTGCAGAGTACGTGCACATGTTTTATCTTGGAGAAAGTCCTAACAAGAAGCATGAACTAAAAAACCCTGGTATTCCTGAACAGCTCATGCTCCACCCCAAGTTGGCATGCTCAGTCTCTTGAGTCAAATAGAAGGAACAAACAAAGTGCTAAGGCCTTCCTGATCAGGGAATTCAAAAGCCAAGATCAAGAGACTAGAAAGGGTGAGGAAACCAAAGCACATTACACACATCTGTTTGGCTTTGTTTTGCTTTTCCATAAACTTTTGTGCTCTGCACCTGGAGATGGGGTTCAAGGAGGACAGTAGCTAGCAGCCAAGGATAGTGGTCAAGCCAGGGATTGCTTCAGAGTACTGGAGCCACACACATCCCTGAGACCTGCTGGGCTGCACCCCAGGGTGTTGATGGTGCTGGCTGATGCCTTTCTACATTTGTTAATACTTAGATGTTTTCCCAAAGTTCCATCCATCCTGGCCTTGAACATCTCCAGGGATCCACAGCTTCTCTGTGCAACCTGTTCCAATGCTTCATAACACTCATACTGAAGAATTTTTTCCTCCTGTCTAATCTAAATCTTCCTCTATCACTTTAACACCATTACTGCTTAGTCCACAAATATGCAGCCCACAATATGACTAGGCATAAATGTGCCTAAAAGGTCAGACAGAGACAACTTGTGAAAGCATCTCAAATGTGCAAGGATCTAGAAGTACTGCATTCCTGAATACTCAACCAGTGAGGCTGGTCTAGGTTCAGTCTGGCATGTGTTTATCAACACTTACAGAACAGTGAATTGAGGTAATTTCAACAGAGAAGCAGTAAGTTTCTCAAATTTCATTAGGAACTACTTAACAGAGTTATTCTACTTCATATTAGCAAACACTTGCATAGCCCACTCATAAACAGTTTGCAAACCTTGGAAGTATCCTGCAAATAATAAACCACTAAAAGATTTCAATTGTCTATGATACTGTGATACTGGGTCAAACTATAATAGGTGTCAAATTTATTCACGTCAGCTTTGTACTATGTGGAAAGCTGCAGATCTTAAGCTGACTTCACAGCTGATCTAATAAGTAGAGTATAAGCAATCATAATGCTCAGGTGTAAATTACTTCGCCATGTTAAGAATAGGAAAATACTTCTGTAACAGAGCTCTGACTGTGGTTTAAGATACACAAGTAGAAAAGAACGTTTAATCCTTGAGGAAACATAATCAAAAATAATAGCTGGCTGAAACAAACATCAGATAACCCTATACATTCTGCACATGTAGAAAGAGGGACATACATGATACTCGGGAAAATGTTCACCAAATAGTAAAAGAAACAACTAAAAGATGAAAAAGAAAAATCTAAAGGTATGAAATTTCACTACAGAGAAGGTTGAAAGAGAAAAATTAACACACTTTATGAGGTGCACACTTTCGGTTTCTTTTCCTTCTTTTCTTAACGTAGTAATGGCATTCATGCAACTGAACAGTTTCATTAGAAGACTGGTTTGATGAAAGCTTTTCTTTTTTTTTTCTTCTTTTTTTTCACCCAGGTTAGTTTTCATACCAATGAGCTTCTCCTGCCAACTAACATGGTAAGGGAGATGGCACAGAACTGCAGGATTGCTGTGGTGTTAACATAAATCAGATTAAACCATGTAACTATACCCTAAGTACTCATTTACCTTGCATACATAGCCCTAAAAGGTATAAGCACAAGTTAGCTTCAATTTGAAGCACAAGTTAACTTTAGCTTACATACACACCAAAGTATCACGAGATCAGCAGGAAGCAATAAAATCTTTACAGCATTTCTAGTTCTAAAACATTTGCAACAAATCTTAGGATCTCTTTTCTTCTTCTCTAAAGCAACCATTCTTTTTGTACAGGTCATTCGCTTTAGTTTTAAGACCTGTGCTATTCTGTGTATTAATCATTTTCAGCAATGTGATTCACAGAAGTAATTTATTTGCTTTTTGGAAAATGTGATTCTTGTTTCACATAAGTCTTAAAAGTGAGGCAAACAATGGAATAGAGTAGGATAGAGTAGAGTACTTTAGTTCCATTAGAAAGGACCTTCAAAGATTATCTAGTCCAGCTGAAAAATGTTAAATGCAACATAAAAAAAGCAAATAATCTTGCTTATGCAAATGACAGGACCAATTTTTACCAGTATCCTAGTCCTCATTTACTGGAGGACACCCATTGTTTTCTGGTGCTTCAGCTTTCAAAAGCCTTTAACACAAAGCAAATGCAAAGAAAAGTTAAATTTTTGTTCTTGTAACTATTTATTACCATGAACATACAGTATCAAAAGATGTTTTGGGATAGCAGCTGAGCAAAAAATTTTGGATGGAAACCAACTAGTTTACATAAGCTACAAAGACTAGCTGCTCAAAAAATATAAAAGCCAGTTAAATGTACTGTAATGTAATGTAATTTTTGTTGCTTGTTGAAGGTGTGGATGCCCAGTGCAACCTTCAGAAATTCGGTCATCAAGGATGTTTCCACTGCCACCTTTCTTCTCTTTTTATTTAGTTTCTCCTCTTTTCCTGATTCTTAATGTTTCCCATTGCCTTCCTCTCTCTCTCCTTGTATGATCCAGGATACAGGCCGAACTTAAAGATAAACTCATTCACAGAAGTTATTTGGATAAAATTTTCTACTGCAAGTTGAAGTTTATTGTGCAATTTATGTTACCTGGGTTTATGATAAACCTTCACCCCAGGTCCCCAGAAATGGTGTTCTGACATTGTAAGAGGAAGGATTTTGTTATTATTGTTGCTTCCTAGAGCAGGAATGTTCATTGCTAGCTTTAGGTCATTACAAACATCATATGTACATTATTTTTGCACTGTTACCTGATTAAATTCTGGCACACCTGGCATCCTGCAAGACATCTGTGATAAAGATAAATAATTAATACATGCGTGTACAAAAGAAAACACCTGTAATAATCATAAAAAATAAATTAATCTCTGACAAAATTCGACCATCAGAATTAAAGGTTGTCTTCTTCTGTATTAACTACTGGAAGAACTACTAGATAACTTCAGTGATTTGGCTTGCATGTAACATCTCAAAACATATATTCCAGCTACATTTCGAAGATGAGTTCTCTACTGTCTACACAATCCATGTGTTCAAAACAACATAATACAAATTACAAGTTCACAAAATCAAAACATGATCTTGCTGAGCATATTAAGGCAGCAGCTTCCATTACATACAGTCTGAAGTGCCAAATCATGGTTTTTTTTTTCCCAGTTCCCACAGAATTGCTTAAGAGTTTGATCTTTTCCTTACTCTTTTCACACTCTATTTCAATCTGAGTGGAAACCTATGCCTCATAAGACTTTGATCAACAGTAGGCGATATTTTGAGGATGGGAGAAAACAGTAGTACAGGATTATGGATTTCTGTGCAGCAGTAGTTCAATATTAGAAGCATGCTACTTTTTTTCTCTTTAATTTGGGTAACATAACATGGTTTTAGTTATTGGATAGCATGATGTCCAGGAAGGCATGGAAGGTTAATTGTTTATAACTACTAATTCAAACGAACAGCAACATTGAAAATGTACTGGTGAGAGGACCTATAAAAATCACCAACAGTAGTACAGTAAAAATGGAAAGAATTGCACCCAAACTTCACAAAACACCCATAAAAGTGAACTCTGATTCTTTCTGAATTCAACAGAGAGAAATGAAAGTCATTGTTTTACCTGTGAGGGTCTTTCAAACAGGGAACAATGGTTGCACATTCTCTTTTACTGAAGACTTCTTCTATCCAAGATTTGGGTGTCTGAAAAGACATTTCAAACGTAATTATATTCCTTAACTTTAGAACACAAAGCAAAACATTGCTCTACAAAGTTTAGGCTGCTGTATATGCCTAATTCCGAATAATTTCCATCACAATGTCAAATGAAACCAAATGTTATTAGCTGAAACTGGAGCTCTGAATTGTACAAGTCTTTCACTCCCCAACTTTTTTCTTAGAAATATGTATCCTAAAATATATTCCTATTCTTCAGTAATAAACATGAAAATGATTTAGAGGATCACATACATGTAACTGAAAGCACTGCACATTCTGATAGAAGACTAACAAATAGCAATATTGCTAAAACTGATACTGTGCAAAAAGGCATTATTTCATTTTTACCTGAAAGACACTGTTTACTCCTTCTTGTTTTATTATTATAAGAGATTTCAGAATTGATGCATCCTGGTTATGTGTTTACTGAATTAGGACTATGCTGAAGTACAAAAGACAGGGAAGATAGTCTGGACTGCATTTAGAGTGTGTGTCAGGTGAAGTTTCCCCACTATGATACTGCCTCAGTGAAGGCTGTTGCAGCTGAATGAACTGAACTGAATCACTGATGTACACAGATTTTTTTCAAATAACCTCTTTCTATTCTAGCTAATCAGACCACAAGAACCAAAGGATCTCCTACACTCTCACCGTGAGGCAGAAAGAGGGACCTATTAGACAGAGGTGAATGGAAGCAGGTTTCTGTTCAGAGCAGCAGAAAAACTTCCAAACCCCACACTCCAACACACTCTCAGACAACAGACACGAAGCTTTGGAATTTGACGGACAGGAACCTAACATCCATATCACAACCACCTCTGACAAGAAGCATTTCTATCATAAGCAAGTCCCTTGTGAGGGGAACAGAGGGCCTAATATGCAAACTAGACCAGACCTACTGGAAAGTCGGATGCCAACCTGGGGCCCGAGTAAGAGATGTCACTAGGAAACTCACCAGTTTAGTACAGCCCCCTGATTATTAACCATTATTCATGTCAGCAACAATGAGATATCAAAAAGAATTCCAAGGTCAATCAAATGGGATTTCAGGGCTTTGGGGTGATTAAGGATAAAGGAGCAAGGTTACAGGTAGTGTTCCCTTCCATCCTTCCTGTAGCCGTATAGAACAGGCAGACCCAGCTAGTCACTATGCAGCTCCAAAGTTGATGTTACCAGCAGAATTTTGGGTATCTTGATCATGGGGTAATCTAAACAACAGCAGGACTGATGGTGCCTAGTGGGATGCACCTTTCTCGAAAACAATTTCTGCTATAGGCCCCCTAGCCAAGGTGACAACATCTATGAATCATTCCTTAAGCAACTTAGAGATATCTCTAGATTAACTGCCTTTGTCCTTATGGGTGACTTCAATTTGCCAGACGTTAACTAGGAACATCAGCTGATACAAACAGATATAAACAGATCCAGGAGATTCCCAAAACGTTTTGATGAAAACTTTTTGGTACAGGCACAAAGGGATGCAACTAGGAATGGTGCCCTCCTGGATTTTTTTACCTCTAAGCAGAGAAGGTGTTGTGAGTGAAGTGGAAATTAGTTTTCTTGGTGATTATGAAGTATACAAGTTTAAAATTTTTGGTGATGGGAGGAAAACTGCCATCAGAACTACAGCTCCAGATATGGGGAGAGCAGACTTCAAGCTACTCATTTTATGATTAGGCATGAAAGGCAAAAGGTAATCAAATAATAAATACTGACTCCTTATTCATTCTCTAAGTTGAAAATTGATTACTCCTTTGCAATATGCCTAACTTGCAAAAATACTTGTGTTAAGTACTTTTCTTGATACTTGTGTAAAAAATGTCTCCTTCCTACAACGAATTAGAAAAGAATTCAATTTGTGAGAATCCATGTAACAACTGATTAAGAGCAGCGCTCAGAGCATTTTTATGGCTGGAGCTCAGCAATAATTCTTATAAAAGAGAATACTTCTCTATTATCTCCTGAAAAGAATTATGATCCTTAATAAAAAACGGTTTGTTTGAGAATTTTTACTTGAGCTTCACATCCCTAAATACCCCTGCATTAACTCATAGCTAATAACCTGGTCATGGAATACCAAGAGGTACATGGGTGAAATAGCAACTCGTGTGCAGGTTCAGACCCAGCTCCCATCAGGACTAACAGTAGTCCTCAGAAAGTAGTCTGAGTCAGTCCCCCACTGACAAAGATGAAAGGGTTTATTAAAAAGCAGTTTGCAGGTATTGATATGAATGTGTATTCTTCCAAGAGTAACTAATTTAATTGTGTCTGGTTGAGCTTAGAAGGAAGAAGTAAGAGCATGGAAGATCCTCAGGGCTGAACAGATCGTGGGCATACAGGAAAATTAAATATCTCAGAAATACACCTATTGAAGACATCAGACAAAAATTAAATCCAAGGAAAAACCTGAGAAGCAGCACAGCAAATTTCATTGTTTGAGGGCAGGCATGCAGTGCTTTAAAAAACCTTTCAATAGTAGTCTTGTTAGTAATCGTTATTGTTTCACGCTTGCCAAATCACTTCATTCTAGTTGTCTGAGCTATCAAGCAAAATAGACAAATGTTCCTACTATTACAATACCCTGGGACTCTGATCTTCTGAAATCCCTTAATATTTCTGGCAACACTTTTCAATTGAAACTAAGGAACAAGAAATCTTTTTATTTATGGGATGCCTTGGATAAGAATGAACTTCACTAAACTTTTCATTAACAGGAGAGGGAGTAATGGAATTGCCAAGAGGTTGGCAAGCCTCACAGCACTTGCTAGGGAAACATGCTCAGCCTTGTGAGAGAAGAACATTCACATTGCTGTCATTTTGATTAGTAACAGCACTAGCAGTTTGAACAAGCTGTTGGCACGATTTAATCTTCCCCCCAGCTATACTATCTCCAGCATGATGTATTTTGGAAATCAAGTGTTCTGGAGGCATCTTACCAGGTGTGAAGGGCAGCACTGGAGAATATAAAGTATATACCCCCAGTACAACTGTGTGTGTTGCATAAGCCTACAGAGCAACATCAAAACATACTGTCAAATGAGCAACACACATGCTCAGAAATGTGACTCCATTTGAAAAACAGTGTCAAAAGAAGTTTTTTCCTCCAAAATTTAATGTTCCTCAGCAAAAAGCTATATTATACAAGTTACAACATCAATGAGTAATTTTAAAGAGGGTAGAGGTCATGTGGAACGCTACCTCTTTTAGATCACAGAATCACAGAATGGCTTGAGTTGGAAGGGACCTCAAGTATCACCAAGTTCCAACTCTCCTGCCACAGGCAGAGATGTGGTTATTTAAAACAAAAATATAATTTACAGTCTTCAGAGATGGCAATAAAGTTTGCTGAAGTTACAGCAAGTAACATGGGAGATAAAAAGCTTTCTTTACTATTAGTTTTTTTAACATCTAGGCTTTTTCCTAAATAACATACCTTGTTCTAAACATTATTTTGTTTAGATTCTGGAGAATCTAAAAAGGGAGGCTAGGGAGTTAAAACAAAAGTAACAATGCCTAAAATTCTGGATGCTCTGTACAACATCATATAATTTGGTCCAACACCACGTTTTCTCATTCAGCTGAGGCAGTGACTAACATATGCTACAGTTGGTCAGACCACTCTAATCCCAATGTGTTGGACTCGATGTATAACAAAGCCAGTGGAAAAAACCTACTGATTCTGACAAGCCTTGGTTGATACACCATTAATCCAATCTTGGATCATTGATATGATAAATAAACAAACAAACAAATAAATAAATAAATAAATAAGATTCCCATTTAATTTGAATGAACAAGGTCATGATTCAATTAATTTGATCCTTGAATCTCGATGCACCAAAGATGCACCTCACATAGTGTCTCTGGGATACCTCTAGCCTCACACTCATCTGAGTTAGCTTCACTTCAAGATTCTTAAATATTCATTTTTATAACCAATGAGAAGCAAGTAAACATAGCCAAAAGCCTAGTTTGCAAATTCTCTATCATTTCTGCCTTAATAAAATTTCAGATAGTTTTACTTAAATAAATAAATAAACTAAAATTCCAATCAGCCATAGGAAAAAATGAAATATAAGTTTGTACCACGGTATTTCACCTTGTTATGAGCAAGTTTCAAAACTGAAACACTGTGAGATGCAACACATTTACCATTATTATATAAAATTCAGATGAAATCTTTGCTTAATATACAATATATACACTCACTCCCATATACAAGAAGGGGAGCAGGGAGGACCCGGGGAACTACAGGCCGGTGAGTCTCACCTCCGTGCCTGGGAAGATCATGGAACAGATCCTCCTGGACAACATGCTCGGTCACATAAAGAATGAGCATGTGATCCGAGACAGCCAGCACGGCTTCACCAAAGGAAGGTCATGCCTAACTAATCTTGTGGCCTTCTATGATGGAGTGACGGCATTGGTGGACGAAGGGAAGGCGACCGATGTCATTTACCTGGACCTGAGCAAGGCCTTTGACATGGTCCCCCACCACATCCTCATCTCCAAATTGGAGGGAAGTGGATTTGATGGGTGGATGACCCGATGGATAAGCAATTGGTTGAAAGGCCACAGACAGAGGGTGGTGGTCAATGGCTCTATGTCCAGGTGGAGGCCGGTAACAAGTGGTGTCCCCCAAGGGTCTGTCTTGGGACCGGTGCTCTTTAACATCTTTATTAATGACATCGATGAGGGAATTGAGTGCACCCTCAGCAAGTTTGCTGACGACACCAAGCTGAGTGGTGCGGTTGATACGGTGGAAGGAAGGGATGCCATTCAGAGGGACCTTGACAGGCTGGAGGGCTGGGCTCGGGTGAACCTGATGAGGTTCAACACGGCAAAGTGCAAGGTTTTGCATTTGGGCCGGAAGAACCCCAGGCACCTGTACAGGCTGGGAGGAGCGGTCCTTGAGAGCAGCTCGGCAGAGAAGGACCTGGGGGTCCTGATGGACGAGAGACTGAACATGAGCCAGCAGTGCGCTC